AAGATTTGCATATCCCGCCCGACCGGCTGCTTGACCTCGCCGCCCCGCTGCTGGCTGTGCTCGCTGCACGCGGCATGCATGCGGTTCGCCCAGCGCCCCTTTGATACGGCACGACCGCTCTGCGTCGCTCTGCGCTGCGCTGCGTCCTCCAAGTTGCCTTGGCTGGCCTTTGACCTCTCGGAGCCCCGCCAGCGGGACACGCGGGGCCCTCCATCTCGCTCCCACTGCCGCGCCGCCGCACCGTGGGCCAAGAGACCGGCGGAGGCGGCCAAAACTCTAGACGCGCTTTGAGCTCCAGAGTCGTTAAATGGGACTGGAACCGAACGTGCGACCCCACCAATGGATTCCTTGTTCGGAGAGCAATCCATTGGTGGGGGTCACACGTTCGGTTCGAGTCCCATTTAGCGACTCTGGAGCTCAAAACGCGTCTAGAGTTTTGGCCGCCTCCACCGGTCTTCTGGCCCACTGTGCGCCGCGGTCCCCGTCGACGCGTGCACCTGCCAAGCTAAGCCCCTCCCCCTCCACCACGCCGTCTGCCTTCGAGGAGCGCTCGCCGGAGGAGGAGACGAGACCGCACGTTTACTGCGACAGCGTTCTGCATGCTTACCCTCATGCTGCATATTTACGATATAACTTCGCTTTCCGTCCAATTTCTTTTTACTGTCAATACCCTTTGAGCGGGGCCCCGTGCGCCGCCGTGCTCGCCGTCGTCGTCGTCCCTCTCCTACTTGTTTGCAGACTACCCCCGCCCGCCGCGTGCTGCGTGCGCGCGGCCCGTCCCGGCGCACCCTGCTGAGTGCTGACCCTTGCCGGTGCGGCCCGGCCTGGCCCCGATATTTCGACCTCCTCCAAGAAGACCGTTCGCCCCGCCCCGCCCGGGCCGGGGTCCGAGGCGGCCAGGGACGGCCAGGGACCGTGGCGGCAAGGTCGTTTTACACGTCCCGGGGATTCTTCTCGAGGCGTCACGTCGGCTCCCATTGCCCCTATCGCCCGTGGCTACCCTTGTCGACCGGGGCGGGGCGGGGCGGGGCGGGGCGGGGCGAGGCAGGGCGGGGGTGGCGCCCTCTGAAACAGCGGCGTGCCCTTGAAAACGGCCTGCCTCAAGTGCTGCTATTAGGTTCCGCCGCGCTCGCCGCCCTTCTAGAATCGCTAGCAGCAGCGGACCCGCTTTTAACCGATCGGGTTATTCCCCTCCCCCCCTCCCCTCCCCCTCCACTCCCCCACTCCTCTCTCTCTCTCTCTCTCTCTCTCTCTCTCTCTCTCTCTGTCTCTCTCTCCCTCTCCGTCCCTGCGCGGCCCGCGAGCAACAAATATTTGCAGTTGAGCAGCCTCTCGACCTGCTTGTGCTGCTGCTTGCCGGTCGCCCAATATGCGCGCGCGCGCGTGTGTGTGTGTGTGTGTGTGTGTGTGTGTGTGTGTGTGTGTGTGTGTGTGTGTGTGTGTGCTGTCGAATCGCGCACAACGCAATCAGCGGCGCGGCGCTGCACGGCACGGCGCCTGCGAACAGCGGGGTAGGCAGTCCCGCCACGCGTGTGTGTTTGACGGCACGGCCTGCGTCCTCCGGCCTCCCGGCCGAGGCGAGGCGGCCGAGGCGGAGGCCCGGGCCGCGCCTGCTGATCCAGCCACTTGTGTCTTCCCGTTTATTGCACGACGGCCGAGCCGTTTGGTCGCGCTGTCTCTCTCGCACCGACAAAGGGCTTCCCATGAGTGCGACGGAGACAGAACGACGAACAGTAGCGACTCTTGGAAATGTAGCCGCTATGCGAGTGACTGGGCAGGCGGCCGGCAACACGCGTGCGTTTGACTGTGGGACTCCGAGGACGCGGAGGAGGCCACCATGACGCCGCAGTGGCCAGCGCAGCGCAGTACTGCGGAAAATAAGTCTCTGCAGACTGATTCCGAGAGTCGTTTCCTTCGCTCTGTCTCTCTCGCACTCACGAGGCGTTCCGCATGCGTGAGAGAGAGACAGAGCGACAAAGGCGACTCTCGGAATCAGTCTGCTGGCCGGGTTTCGGCCAATCGCAATGCGAGGCCAGGCCGCGCATTCTTGGAATGGCAACGATGTCATTTTCGGTCGAGTACAGCCGCGAGTACAGCCCTAGGCGAGCCGGCGACGAGTCTCCTGGAATGGTTCGAGAACAGTCCTGCTGCTCTCATAGCCGAGCTCGCTAACTGGCTGACCTGCCGCTCCTTCGCGAGCTCTATCAATTTTATCCAGGTTCAAATCTCGCCATCCTATTTTTTTTCAAGTTTTTTTCTTCTTTTTTTGAAGGGGGTATTAGTTAGCCTACCACACCCTTCACCTACCCATCTTTCTTAAGAGGTCAACTGATATACCCACGCTTTTTTTAAGCAGACGTAAACAAAACATAATTACTCCCGTAATGCAAAACTTTTCCCCCGCTTTTTTTTTCTTTGACTTTGCAATCTCTACTCTCATAATGCGCCCCTGCGGCGCCACGCCATGTAGGGCGGCAGTGTCGTCGATATATGTGGCTTCAAAGCAGTCGCCCTCGCAGATTTAATAACCTGTGTGGGGCGCGGCAGGGCGGGGCGGGGCGGGGCGGGGCGGGGCGGGGCGGGGCGGAGACACGGCCGCGTGGCGTGCGCTGCAGGGCCGCGTGTAAGGATCGGCACGGCGGGGAGCAAGGCAGAGGGGGGAACATCCGTCCCCTCGAGATGAATTTTCGTCCTAGGGTGTGCCGCCAAGTGCGGCGTCGCCGTCGAGCCAACGAGGCCACCACCGCGGCCTCCACTCGGCCTCCACCGTGACCTCCACTCGGCCTCCAAGGCGGCCTCCACGGCGGCCTCCACGGCGGCCTCCACCACGGCCTCCACCACGGCCCCCACCACGGCCCCCACCACGGCCCCCACCCGCCCTCTACCGCGGCCATCACCACGACGCCTCCATGGAGGGCCTCCACTGCGGCCTTCACTTGGCCTCCACCGTGACCTCCACTCGGCTCCATTCGACCTCCACCACGGCCTCCACAACGGCCTCCACGGCGGCATCCACGGCGGCCTCCACGGTGGCCTCCACCGAGACCTCCAGCCACGGCCTCCACCACGGCCTCCACCACGGCGTTCACGACGGCCTCCCCCACGGCCCCCACGACGGCCACCACATAGCCCGGCCCTTCACACCCGCCTGCAGCAGGCTGTAAGTACGCGTCGCTACCCGCGCCTTGCTTCTCGTCGGTGTCGCCCTCCCCCTTTTCCCCCTTCCCTTCTCTCCCGACACAGTAGTTGAAAAATGCGGCAGCCAAGCAGCTGTCCCGGCCCAGGCTTGCTGCGTCGCCCCGCGTCGCCCGGTCCATGCAAATCAGGGCCCTTTATTTTCGAGGAACTGTCGATATCCGAAAAGCTGGGAGGCGGTGGATGGCGTGGATGGCGTGGAGAGGAGGAGGGCCGCCCCGAAAAAATGAAGACACAATAAAAGATGGGGCGGGGCGGGGCGGTCCTCTCGGCGCCTCGGCGGCGCGGACGCGTTTTTCAATCACGCCATGCGTGGTGCTGGAAGTAAGTGCTGGCCTTGGTGGTGGACCCGGGGCCTTGCCCGGGGCAAGGGGTAATGGAGCGCCAGATTTGTCAACAGTTGTATTACTCGTGTCAATGCACAAAAAAAAGTCTCGACGGGTTGCACGCGCGCTTGTCATGCTGCTCACAGGTCGACGTCGAACTCGGGGCTGGCGTTCAAGATAAGGGCCTCGCGCGCGTCGTCCCGGCGCTGCCCCCGCCAGCCCCAGCCCCGGCAGTCCGTCGTCGCCGGCGTCGTCCCTGGCAACACAAGCACGCGGGTAAAACTCCAAACTGCCGGAGTAGTTCTGCCAAGATTCGTTTCGGCTCCGTAAGTTACCTCTGTCTCGTCCGGGCGGCGCCGGGCTGCGCGCCCTGCAGGTCGTCTTGCTGGACAAGTCCACCGAGTTGTCGGCGGCGCGGAACAGGGCGGCGGAGGGCGTCTTGGCCGCGGTCGTCCTGGCCGCGGTGCCGGCCGCCGCCCGCCCGTTGCTGGAACGGAGGGACGCCGCGTTATTTTACTGCTGAAATCACGGCCTCCCCGCTGGGGCCGCTGGGGCCACAATTTAGTAGTGTTTGAACTGACGCGGGGCGCGGGCCCTCGGTATTTGAGCAGGGGCTTTCAACAAGTAGCGCAATCGAAAAGGAAGGGAAGGGCCCTCGGCCCGGCGGAGGGCGTCGCCAGGGCGTCGCTGCGACGCGGCACGGCGTGCACGGCGTCAGCCTCGACGTCAGCTCGTGCCGTTTTGCCTGCGAAAAGGTACTGGGAATGTCGAGGAGGGAAGCGCCCGTCGCTGTCGGGCACGTCTCGGCGCGGCGGCCCGCCCCGCCCGGCCCCGCCCGCTCGCTCCCAGGCATGACGGCGCACAAGTGCATACCCAGGACGCGTCCCACCGACTCAGGACGTGTGCGGGGTGGAGCGATTTGAGGGCACACATCGCGACGCCGCGCCCACTGGGAATCGAACCCTCGACTTTCCTTCTCACCCGTTGCTGATGCGCGCCGCGGGCTGCAGGTCGATGTACTGCAGGTTGAGGTCGTCGTTGCGGGTGAGCGCGCACGCGTCCAGGCCCATGTCCAGGCCCATGTCCAGGCCCGGCTGGCTCCTGCGCCTGCGCGCCGCGAAGATCGCCGCGAGCACGGCCAGCAGCACCGCGGCCGCCAGGACGCCGACGACGAGCTCCAGACTCCGGGGGGCGCCTGCAACATCGACAAATTTCAATCTCTGGGCCGCGCGCCGCCACGCGCCCTCGTCCCTGCCTCGCCCTTTTTATCCCTCCAACTTCTTTTCCGGCTCCGGGCGAGGCGCGGGGCGGCGCGGGGCGGCGCGGGGCACGAGGCATCGCCCTTTTAAAAAGTTTGCACGCAAACTTGGCCGGCGAGATTGACAGCGCGGGCCGCCCTGCCTGGCCCTGCCTACCTGAGGGCCGCGGAGCCGCGCCGTCCAGGGTGCCGTTGGCCGCCGCGGTCGTGGTCGGCGGCGTCCGGGCGGTGGTCGTCATCGGCGTCCTGGAGGCGGTCGTCATCGGCGTCCGGGAGGTGGTCGTCATCGGCGTCCGGGAGGTGGTCGTCAGCGGCGTCCTGGGGGTTTTCGGCGCCTGCGACGAGCTCGGCGTCCGCGGTGTCGAGGTTGCGTACGTCGGCGACGTCATTCTCGCCGTCGTCGGCTTCTCCTCCTTCTTGCGCTTCTTGTCCTTCCCCTTCGCCGTCACTGGTAGCGGCGCCGGCGCCAACGTCACCCTCTCCGTCGGCGGAGCAGTCGTCGTGGCCGCGGGCGTCGCAACTGCTTTTGTGGTGATTTTGAGCGTGGTACTTGGTTTTGGTTTCGGAGTGGTGGTCGTTGTTCTGGATGCTTTAGGAGTGGTGGTAGTTGTGATCGGTCTCCGTGTTGTGGTAGTCGTGGGCGCGGGTCGGGTTACTTTGGGAGTGGTGGTAGTTGTGATTGGGATCGTTGCTGCGCGTGTGGTGGTCATGGTGCTTGGTTTTGGCGCCATCGTTGAAGTGGTAGTAGTGGTGGTCGTCGTTGTTTTTGTTGTTGTTGTTGTTGCTGTTGTTGTAGGAGGTGGTTTGGGTGTGGTGGTTGTTGTGATTAAGGGTGTGGTGGGGACGGCCGTCGTTGCCCTGGGCGTGCTCGATACGCGCGGGGCTCTGCTCGGGGTGACAGGGGGTGCGGGGGATTTGGTTGTCGCGGAGACCGTGGAGGCCGCGGCCACGGCGGGGGTAGTGACTGCGGCGGCCGTCGACCTCGGCGCCGCTTCTCCCGGTGGCACTTGCGGCGGCGTGTCGACGGCGGTCACGTTGACAACGGAGGCCGCGGTGCTGACGGCTGCGGCCGGCCCCGGGCTGGTGGTAGAGCCCCGCGCCGCGCTGGGGGACGCGGCCGTGGCGTTGGACGGGGGCGTCGGCGCCGGGCTGGCGGCCTCGTCGGGCACGGTGGTCACGTCGTCCGTGAACTGCGTCGTATCGGTGATGTCCGTCACGGAGGGCTCTGTTTAGCAGGACGACAATAAAATGAAAACAATCAATATTGCTGGTTGATTGGCTGGGCCATTGGGATCCACTCCTAGACTCGCGTAGTCTTCATTGCGAGCGAACCCTGTGTCTCTGCTGCTGCCCCGTAGGCCGACCCCGCCATGCCGCCGCCCCCACAACAAGATGCCCCCGCGCGTCGTTGCAGCTTCTCGTCGACTCCGACTGGGAGACCCCAGAGGTGGGGACGTGCTCGCCGTGCCTGCCGCCCCCCGCAAGGCCGCGGGGCCTAGGGGAGCGTCGGCCGTGGCGTCGGCCGTGGCGGCGGCCGTGGCGTCGGCCGCCCCCAGCTGCTGCTGCATTTGCATAGCACTGCCTATACCAGGCGCAAAAACCCGACGGCCAAAAGCACCCCCTTCCCCGCCCCATCCCCTAACCACCCCCTCGGGGGCCCGGCGCGCCTAGGGCGGGCCCGGCCACCTCGCATGCCGTGTGCAGAGGCGCTGATGAACTCGGCCGGAGTCTGAAGGGGTGCCTGCCCTCCAGGCGTCGCCGCCGGGGCCAAAAAAAGACGGGGAGCGTAGGCAGCAGCGTGGAGAAGATGAGACTGCTCTTGAAACACTGACGTGCACCGTGCCACCGCCGCCACCGCGGCACCCCCTCCCTTTTCAAACCGGGATGACATAAAACTGGAGAGTCATAACCGTTACAGTATTTCTGGTTTCGTTTTCGCCGGGAGTAATCAACCCCCTGGATTTCGGCGGGCCCCAAATTCGACTAGTGGTGCTTGTGTTGGCGGCTGCCGCGGAAATAAATGGCTTCCCTGATACGACGCCGAAATAAAAAAAATCGGCATCGGGGCGCGGCGCCGCGGCAGATGAAATGTGTGGGAGAGTCGCGCAGCGCGCAGCCCCCCTGCGGGCGTGGCGTGGCGTGGCGTGGCGCGGCGCGGCGCAGGCAGCCCTCAACGAGTGAAAGCTCCCGATTGGCAGAAGGGGAAAGCGTATTGCATTTTTATTGGCATGCGGGCGGGGCGCGCGACAAGGGACGGTGGGGCGGAGGGGGGGGGGGCTAATTCCATTTCGTCGCCGGTTTGGTACAGGTTTCGCCTTCTTCGCCCCTCGCCCCCCTCGGCCCTCGCCGCTGCAGACACATCCATTAGCGGTACGTACAACCAAAGACACTTGCTTTTTCTCGCTCTCTTTTTCCTTCTTTTTCTATTTTTTTCGCGCCTTTTATGAGGGTGACTCTGCGCACACACTCACTCACACGCACACACACGCACTCACACACACACACACACACACATACACACACACACACACACACACACACACCTACACACACACCTACACACACACCTACACACACACCTACACACACACTCACACACCTACACACACACCTACACACACACCTACACACACACACACCTACACACACACACACCTACACACACACCTACACACACGCCTACACACACACACACACACCGTGCCCCCCTCCCCTTTTCCCCATGTTGCAGCGGGAGTCTCGATTGAGCTTCCACCTCCCCACCCCTTTTTTCCCCCTGTACCCCTGGAATCGCCTCTCCATTGGGCCCCAGGCTGCTGTAGGTGACATCTGTGTATGTGTGCTCCATTTGTAGGCGGTCGCGCCTTCGATTCTGACAAACGCCCCCCGCATGCGTCGTGCCTCGCCGTGCCGTGCCGCGCCGCGCCTCCACCATGACGTCACACAAGCGATAACACCTGCGGTATGTATCGCTTGGGCCCTTTCTGTCTCTTTCGCACACACGGGGTGTCCCGAAAGGGTGAGAAAGACGGAACGCCGCTTACCGGTCACTGGAGTGGGTGGCGAACACGCTTCCGGGTCCTGAAGCACTATGTCGCCCACGTCCATCGCGCCGGTGAGAATGAGCTGTGGTCAGGAGATCAAAGATTAACTCGTGCGTCTTGACATTGAACCGTTTGAACCAATGCAGTGTGTTTGACTCGCCTGGAAGGGCTCCTTGCAGGGCCGCACTCTCCAGGTTATCCGCTGCCACCGCGCTTTGGTCGCTGCTGTGCCGCCGCTCGACGCGCCGCTGGTCACTCCGGTGGTCACTGCCGCCGAGCTGTTGGTCACCGTCGCCGCGGTGACGGCCGTCACTTCGGGCGTCGCCGCCGCCGCCCTGGCCGTCGCCTCGGGAGTCCTGGGCACACCCACCACCCCGCCGGCGGTCACTTGTGTGGCCTCGGTCGCCCCGCGACCTGTCGACGTGTTGGGCCCTGCTGGTGCCGCAGCCTCCCTGGCCTCGGCAGTGGCCTCCTTGGCCTCGACGGCAGCCTCCTTGGCCTCGACGACGGCCTCGGCGGCAGCCTCCCTGGCCTCAGCGGTGGCCTCCTTGGCCTCGACGGCGACCTCAGCGGCGGCCTCCCTGGCCTCGGCGGCAGCCTCCCTGTCCTCAGCGGTGGCCTCCTTGGCCTTGACGGCGGCCTCGGCGGCGGCCTTTCTCGCCTTCACGACAGCCTCTCTGGCCTGGGCGACGAAGACCTCCTCCGCAGTATGCCTCCTCGGCCGTTGCTCCACGACGGCGTCCACGTTCACCACCTCCAGGATCTCCTTCTCCAGGTCCCCGCAGCGCTGCTCGGCGAACACCCAGCCCTCTGCAACAGACGCACGGACTTCAGGGGGTAGCCGGGGGTGCCTACCATGCGGGCTTGCCGAAGGGCTTGCCGAAGAGCGAGGCAGGCCAAAGGGCAAACCAAAGGGGCAAGCTGGGGAAGAATGATGATCCCCTTGCATTCCAGACCAACACACTAACAGCCCCCTCCCCCTCTCTTTTGGCTGTTTTCGCCGCCCGTTGCCCTCCCAGCTCCCCTCACCCCTCACCCCCTCCCCCTCCGCCCCCTTTTGTTCATGAGTCCTCCTTCGCTTTCCACCCACGTTCCGGCACCTTAATCCTCATATATTTCTGTTGCTGAACTTTTTTTTGCCCCTCCCGCTTCTCCGACTGTCTCTTCCTCTCTTTGTCTCTCTCCTTATCTCCATCTTCTATCTCTCTCCCTCCCTTCTCCGGCCCGCTCGCCGCATCTTCACCAATCGGGCGACATACATTCTGGAGCGCGGCTTCGCCCCAGCCTGGACTCCGCAGCAGGCCGTTCCCGCGGCCAGAGAGTGCAAGGCCTTTGGGGTGGGGGTGGGGGAGGCTGGCCCAGTAGGTCAAAGCCAGCCACTGTGACTCGCTGCGGACGCGGACCCAGGTCATGGAGGCCCAGTGCGGCCTAGTGGGTCAGAGCCGGCCACTGCGCCCTACACTGCAGGTCACACAGTGGAAGTGCGCGCGGGTCACAGAGGACCACAGTGACCCGCATCCGCACACCTCCATCGCGGCTCCGCGCTAAACCGCGTTACTATCGTAATTCTGCTTAGGCAGTAATGTGACGTCTGCGGTGCCGTTCCTCCCCGCGTGCCTTTTGCCCCGTCGCCCGCTGGCACCGTGTTGGCACGCCGCGCAGCCCGCCGCCCGCGCCGCAGCGGCAACCCGCGGCAACAGTGTAGTGTTTTGAAAAAGTCCCAATATTGCCGGTATAAATCAACGACAACCGGCATTCCAGTGCGAATCGGCCCCCCGACCCCTTCCCCCGCCCCCTTCCACAGCGAATCCATTCCGCGCCCTCTGTTCGCCGCCAAAGGCCTAAAGGGCTCGCGCAGGGCGTTGGGCTCGGCAGGGCACGGCAGGGCACGGCGCGCCAGCCCCAAAAAGCACTCACCAATAAGAACGGCAAGAGAGCGTTGTTGATGTAATTCCCGCTGATGGTTTATTTTTCCCTTTTCATTTAAAAGCTGTTCCCTCCGCGTTCCGTCAAACGAAATCAAAGTCGTGCAACGCGCGCGCGCGCGCGCAGGGTGCGGCACGGCGGGCGTAGCGCGCCCAGCCGCGCCCCGCCACATCACGCCACGCCCTGCCACGCCCCGCCACGCCACGCCACGCCCTGCCCCGCCCCGCCACGCCACGCCCTGCCCCGCCCCGCCCCGTCACGCCACGCCCTGCCACGCCACGCCCTGCCACGCCTCGCACTGCTGCGGACAAAAAAGAACCGGTCTTGTTTGGTGCTTTAGCGGCGCCATTCTTTTATTCAGTCGGAGCGCACGGCCTTCCACACGGCGTCCCATTCATATGTATCACCACAACACGCGGCGCGTCGTGCAGGTCATGTGCAGCAAGTTGCTGCTGAGCCAGGCGTGGCGCAGCACACTGCAAGCAGCGAGTCGTGCGCAAGGTGCAGCAGCACGCCTGGCGAACAGTGGGCCAGAAGACCGGCGGGGGTGGTCAAAATCCCGGACGCGTTTTGAGCTCCAGAGGCGCTAAATGGGACTCGAACCGAACGTGTGGCCCCACCAATGGATTCCTCGTTCGGAGAGCAATCAATTGGTGGGGTCACACGTTGGTTCGTGTCCTGTTTAGCGACTTTGGTGGAGCTCAAAACGCGACCTGAGCACTCTAAAAAAAATTATGAAATTTCATATCCAAAGGAGTCTAAAATTTCATAATTACGTTCTAAACCTCAATTTTTATAACCTTCGTATGAAATTTAAGATCGTGTAATGAAACCTAGGATTTGGGTTATGGATTTTAAGATTAACTCGTTATAAATTTTTAGAACAGAGTAACTTATAACTCCGGTTCTTAAAATCTAGATTTTCGCTTTGAAAGTTTATAACGCTTGCCGATTTAAGAGCAAGGTTCTGAAATTTTTAACCGTTTAGTCCTGCTCCCTAGTCCTTTATTCATGGTAAATTAATAAATAGGTGAAGTTTTCATTTTTATCGGCATGTGTTAACATTTTCCGAACCGCTAAGGTAGGAGTCCTACACTGACAAAAATTTTGTCGTAACTTAGCGACACATTTATCGCTAATTTTTTTAGCGACAAGATTTGTTGTGGAACGAATAGCTTGTTAAACGGCAGAATGACTAAGGCGGCAAAGCTGCTCAGAGAAAAGTAAAGAAAAGCTCATGTGACGTCAAACTCACTGCAGAAAATAACCACAACAAAAGTACACAAATTTCTGGCAAATTTTTTATCAGGAATTTAGTGTACTTTTCAAGTACAACAATTGTTGTACAAAGTACAACGGAACCGGCATGACGAGTGCTGGGAAGTCCAGGGCTGGTTGTGGTTTGTACAATTCTCGTTGTACTTTCTACAATCCCTGTTGTACTTTTATTGTACAGTTTTTGTTGTACTTTTGTTGTACTATCCACACTTTTTCTTGCAGTGCTGTTAATAGAATTTGGCACTAGACGATTCGTTAAAGCCGGTTTAAACTTATTTTATATCTTGATCTGCCCCATTATAGCATCTGGTTTAAGATAATTTTGACCTCTTCATTAAAACTTGAAATGGGTTTGTCTCTGAAAATCGCGGCAACTCAGAACTACTTATGTAGATGAGCCATGGTTTTGAATCCTTGCGAAATTTAAAGTGATGTTATTATGAAGCTGAAAATAAACGTAGCGCTCCAAAGCATTTTGGCATCGTCTATTGTTAAGTTACCTTGTAAAAGGTGAGCTATGGGTAAGGGTATGGTCCACTGTCAGCCGCCTGACGTCAGGTTGCACAAACCTGCCGCTAGGTGGCGCTTGGAGCGCCGTGCCCGTTCACCAATAAGTATTTCCGATTTATGTTACGAAAGTAAATAATTTTTGATAAATATATCATCAGTTGCCTAAGTAAGTGTCAGCCCTAGCCGTTGGCTTTCAGTTTTAAACAAAATATTACACTTAAGTCGAGAAAAACGCTTGTCCAAGTTGCCACTCGCTGGCGACTGCGGTCGGCCATTAGGTTGGGTGCACGCAAGATCCGCCTTGTGTTACAGAGTCCGGGAATGGACTGAGATGTCTCTCAGGAGGAGGAAGGCCTCTTGCAGAGATAATAAGTCTTTTAATTTTTTCTTCAGTGCCCTCCCAATGGGAGTGACGCTGGCGCCACGTTCTCTCGGGAGAAATCATAGCTTTCTGAGATTTCATGATATGTAACATATTCGTTACGAAAGGGAAAAAGGTTTTATTTACACATTTTGTGGGCAGTAATGAAACTATTATCATGTTTCATAATATTGGTTGTAGAGATTCAGAACCAAATGTGAATTTTCAAAACACGTAGATTCTGAAAATTAATAAACTAGTTCTTACATTTCATAAACCACTTCTGAAAGTTTAGAACAGCAAGTTATGAAATTTAAGAACGTTTTGGATATGAAATTTAAGATCCATTGTTCTACAGTTAACTTCAAATCCAGATTATGAAATTTAAGAAGCATTTTTTTTAGAGTGCGTTTTTTGGCTGCCTCTACCTGGCGGAACAGATCGTCTGAGGCAGCAGTACTGTGTTACCTGCAAGCGACAAGGCTCCGTCGGAAAAACTGAAACTAATCGGCGAGTGTTTCCGATACCATCCTCGGCCCTCCCCACTGCTGTGCTAGGGATGTAAAGGCCGGTAATATTACCGGTAAAGAACGGTATAATACGGTAAAATACCGTATTTTACGGAGACCCCGGTAAAATTGGTATTTTTCGGTAATTTTGAAATATTGACTTATTTGAACTTTTTAGCTTCCATACGATTAGACAGGACGTGCGGACTGAAAATAGCGCTTCTTTTGAACTCTTGGTTTGTATCTGCTTCTCGTGCCACCCCGTGTACGTGTAAGACGTCTAGCCACTTAAAATTAATGTGAAGTTAATGTTCTCTTCTTTTGCAAAACTTGTGGAAATCAAAATCCATTTACGCGACCCAAATCTCCGAAAGGCAAATCAAAAACCTTTCTTTGTTGCCAAGGTTCATATAATTTTAACTAACTTAAAATTGAAAAGAGGTAAATCTAGGGGTAGATATTTGGTAGAAATTTGAGCTGAAAAGTGTAATGAACATTGGTATGGTTGTTGGACACCTTGCAGCCTTTAAGGAAAAAAGTTTCTTCATGGAATTGAGACAACTTACTTGGATTACGAGAAAAACGGCGCCCGTTTTGTTAATTCTTAAGTATATTTGGGCTGTTAACTTTGCTGCTCTACGCATTTCTTAATCCAGCCCAGTAGGAATAAGTGAAAAGCAGTCAGATTCAAAATTAATTTAGAAGGGTCTAGTGGGAGAATAGTTCATATTTTAGACCCACAGGGTCTTTCGTCCTTGTCTATTTCAAATATGCGACATTGTCCTTGAGTCATGATGGTTTGCAACCATGTTTGGAACGATGCGGCCGATAATTAATGATACACCCTCACCCAAATGAACCTCTTTTCCCCCTATTTCCTAAGAAGAACCACAGTTACTTCTTTAAGTCAAGAAAAATCAATTTTACCCAATTTTACCGTATAATACGGTAAAATACCGTATTTTACCGTAATTTACGTAACTTTGAATCTTACCGGTATTTTTGCATCCCTATGCTGTGCGTAGTCCGTAGCAGTGATGGACTCGGCCGTGGGTCGCAAGGCAAACGGCCATGCGGGAGCGTGGCGGTAAAAGGCCAGGCGACGGCAGCACGACGGGGACGTGCTGGCCGCGCTGCCCGGCTTCGGCTTCATTTATCCTCCCTGTTTACTGAACCTTTATTGAGCGCGCCCCTTTGGGGCTGATGCGATGCGGGGCGCGCGGGGCCCAGGCTTGTGTTCGGCCCGCCGTCATATGGGCCCGGCCGAGGCCCGGCTGAGGCGCGGGTGTGACGGGGCTCCACGCCATCAGGGCCACCGGTCACCATGGCCACCAGGGCCACCGCTGGGCCTCCGGCCACCAGAACCACCCGGCCCACCGGTCACCATGGCCATCAGGACCATCAGGGCCACCAAGGCCACCACGGCCACCACGGCCACCACGGCCACCGGCCACCAGGGCCACCAGGGCCACCGGTCAACATGGCCACCAGGACCACCAGGGCCACCAGGGTCACCAAGGCCCCCAGGGCCACCGGTCACCATGACCACCAGGGTCACCGGTCACCATGGCCACCAGGGCCACCAAAGCCACCAGCACCAGAGCCACCCCCCGAGAACACGCGTCCCCGGCGGCAGCGCCATCCTGCTCCTCTAGAAGCTCCCCGCCTGGCGGCCGTCAGCCTCCACTCCGCCGAGATGAGGGAGCGCGCGGTGCAGCCCCCGTTTTACGGCGGGGTGCTGCTGGCCCTCCGCCACCGATTCGAACCCAGTGCTGCATCGCCAGCTCCAGCCGGATCGCCAGCAACGTGTCGTTCTCGTTTTATTCCGGAGCCAGTCCGCGCTGTTCGACGCGCCGCGCTGCGGGGGCTGCGCGTCCCTCGCGCCACACCCTGGTGCCGCTTGCTTGTCGTCTGGTGACGTATACAAATGACTCCGACAAGAAAGGCCCATGTATGTTTGACGTTCTTTGAGGCGCGGCGGCGCGGAGCGGCGCAGGGCGGAGGCCCTCCGAACCCCCAGACGCCCCAGAGGCGCGCCACCGACGCCGCTAGGCCGCCAGGCCGCCACCCACAGCCACGCAGTGGCATAGCATTATGGAGCCTGGCACAGCCTGGCACAGCGCGGCTGCTGCCGACGAGGAGGAGGCCTGGATCCTCATCGGCTGCGATAGGCTTTGCACCACTCCCGGGGAAGGAAGAGCAAGCCCGGAATATTATTGGTATCGCCGGAAACGTCGCGCGGGCCTTTCCGGTTTCGCCAACCCGGAGGAGGAGAAGCAATGGGCAGCCTCGATACGTCAGTCATCGGGGGCCCTCCGTAGGCGGGGTGAAATAAAGCGTCAGTCATCGGGGGGCCGTCCGTAGACTTTGTGAAATAAAGCTTATAAGTCGGTCCGTAGACTTTGCGAAATAAAGCGTCAGTCACCGGGGGGCCGTCCGTAGACTTTGTGAAATAAAGCGTCAGTCTCCGGGGGCCGTCCGTAGACTTTGTGGAATAAAGCGTCAGTCATCGGGCCCGTCCGTAGACTTTGTGAAATAAAGCGTCAGTCATCGGGCCCGTCCGTAGACTTTCTGAAATAAAGCGTCAGCCATCGGGCCCGTCCGTAGGCAGGGTGAAATTAAGCGTCAGTCATCGGGCCCGTCCGTAGGCGGGCAGAAATAAAACATTCGCCGAGGCACCCCGCTTCGTCAAAATTACTTGGGGCGGTGCAAAGCGCACAAAGCCAGCGCCGCCAGGGAAATGGACTCGCTCGCGTGATGAAAACGGCCGAGGGAGGAGGAAAAATGGAAGGCGGGAGAGAAATGGCCGGTGACAGAAGTAATGTGATGAACGGGCAGGTGAGGCTGTTGCCAGACTTGCAGGGCACAGCCCGGGCTGTGGCGTTGCCGGGCCGTGATGTACGTATTCCGCGGTCCAGACCGCCAGGTCCCTTCGCGCGTTGCACGCGTTGCAGTGCAGGCACACAGACAACATGGCACGGCCACGGCTTGGCCACGGCACGGCCAGCCGCATTGCCGTCCATTATTGGGCTCCTTCTAAATCCGGGGAAGGCAGACCGCTGAAGGTGTGTGGCCCGCCCGCCGGCCCGCCAGCCCCGCCAGCCCCGCGCTCGCGGCCTGCCCCTTAAATCATCGTCAGCCCCGTGGCGAGACGAGGCGGCCTGCGGGCTGAATCCGCGCAGTGCTTTGAGGCTCCGTCTCTCTCACACGCCCCTCCACACGCCCTGTGAGTGCGAGAGAGACGGACTCGGACTGCGGTGCCGCCCAGCCATCAGTGTCGGCCGCGTCGGCTCCCAGCCATCAGTGCAGCCACTGTACCGCCGGGCCCAGCGCCGCCCAGCGGCGCCACATCGGCCACGGACGAGCCACGGCGCTCTCCTTGGCCAGCTATATACGTGATTTACACTGTGTGCAATTTATTGCTGTTGGGCTGCCTACTTACAGCGGGGAGCTCACTAAGTAACGCCGCGCGGCGCCCTCTCCCTTGTCTATCCTCGTCGCTCTCCCTCCCTCCCGCGGCAGCCTGGTGCCGTCTTTCTCCGCACCGCAGGGCTGCAGGGCCCCCGCCTGGCGGCCCGGCCCGGCCCGGCCCGGCCCCCACCAAGAGCCTCCCCGCCGTGTATCTGTGCCACGTCCCGTGCTATATGACCCCGTGGATATGGGGCGGATCGAAAACCACACACACGTACACGCGCCCACACACGCACACACGCGCGCCCAGAGCCAGGGCTTCGGGGTGCTCGGCGAGCACGCAATGTTCATCCCCACTGCGTTAGTGCCACTACAAGGCATCTAGAATTGAGCAAGGCCGAGGCGTGGTTGAAGGGCTGTGGGCCGCGCGGCCGGAAGGGGGAGGGGGGAGTGCTGCCGAGCGGGGACATACCGGGTTTGTCGCTGCACCAATTCCAATTTCCCCGCGGCCTGGCCTGAGCCCGGCCTGAGCCTTCCGGGGCTCTAAGCGCAGCAAATGGGTCGGGTTGTGGCGGGGCGGGGCGGGGCGGGGTGGGACGCGCAGGCCGCGGTACTCGTCGACCAATCAGACAAGGCATGAGGGCCTCTCCCTCTGTCCCCGCCCGCAGACTGATTCCGAGAGTCGCTTGCTCGTCGCTCTGTCTCTCTCGCGCTCATGGAGCGTCCCGTCCGGGAGTGAGAGAGACGGAGCGTCGGCCTTACGTGGGTGCTGCGGCGCGTTGACGACCCTCGAGCGCACGCTGGCGCTGAAGCAGGCGTGCGGCGACCAGGCGGCGGCGAACTCGGCCGAGTAGAGGCTGCCGTCCGCGCCGTCGGCGTTGTCCAGCTGCAGCAGGTGCGGCACGGGGCCTGCACCAGAAGCGGGAGAGCGGGTTGCATTATTGGCAGCGGCGGAGTGCGGGACACACAGACTCCAAGCAGCGCTGTCGTCGGGGGTCTGCAACTGACTGAAATAATGTATACAGAGTGAGAGTCGAAAGGAAAATGGACGTGGCGTCCCGGCAAGGGCCGCAAGGGTGCGAGAGAGATTCGGATTCAGAATCGCTCGGCCAGTCTGCCACGGCTGTCTCGGCCCTTCCGGGACGCTCCATGCTCCGGAGGGCGTGCTCGGAGTGCTTCGGCGAGCTGGCCGCTCCCTTTGTTGGTTCGGTACCCATGGAATTACTGTAGTCGCAGCGGAAAACATGTCCCGGGAGCAAGGAGCAGTACTCTGTGTGTGTGTGTGTGTGTGTGTGTGTGTGTGTGTGTGTGTGTGTGCGTGCGTGTTGTGTGTGTAAGCCCTGCGGTACCAACCAAAGTTAGTTTCGTGTTGATGTCGACGGGTAGAAAGAGAGGGTGGGGCATAGCGGGGCGGTGCACTCGCCGGGCGGGCGGGCTTATCTGCCTTGCCGATGGCGTGACTCCTCGGCGACGGAACGCAATGGAAAGCAATGGAGCTCCGGATGCATTTTGCATTTCCGGGAAGGAAATGCCATGAACGGCGGCCGAGGGGATTTGAACCCGCGCCCCGCGACGCAGACTGACGCAGACTCACCCGGCTCGGTCGCAGGTCGGTAGTCGACGGCGGTCCAGCCGCACAGGCCACCGCGGGTCATGTCCATGGCGCAGGACTTGGGGGGTTCACCTGGGCCATCCCACGACGCTGTAACACGGATGCATTTTCATTTTTCATGCTTGAGGCAAAGTTTTGATGTTGGAGGAGACTCACTCTTGCACTTGGGGATGGTGGCGTTCCAGAAGCGGCCCTCGCAGGCGAGGACGGGACTGCCCACCAGGCGGTAGCCGTGGTCGCAGTAGAAGCGCGCGATGCCGCCGTTGTGCAGCACCAGCCCCATGCCCTTCTTGATGGCGCGCACCGGCACCGTGTTGCACCCCGGCTCTGCAAACAGGCACGTTTGAATGGCGGCCTTGGCGGCCTTGGCGGCCTTGGTGCGGCTAGGCCGAAGCGGGAAGTAAACTGTTGCTGCGCCTGCAGGCTGCCTCTACACAGACTTTCAACTGCAGCGTAGTCTGATTCCGGACGGGGCCTCGACGCGGGCCTCGACGCTTCGAGTCTCACGCAGCCCTGCGGTGCGAGAGAGACAGACCGACGCACAGTGGGCCAGAAACCGGCGGCGGCGGCCAAAATTCTAGACGCGTTTTGAGCTCCAGAGTCGCTAAATGGGACTCGAACCGACCGTGTGACCCCACCAATGGATTGCTCTCAGGACGAGGAATCCATTGGTGGGGTCACACGTTCGGTTCGAGTCCTGCTTAAAGACTCGCGAGCTCAAAACGCGTCTCGAATTTTGGCCGCCTCCGCCGGTTTCTGGCCCACTGTGCGACGAGGACGCGGTTCGGAACCCACCACCTGCGGAGGGACGATTGACTCACGACTCACTGACGCAGGACGGCCGGGCGGCGCTCCACTGGCCCTTGACGCACACCATCTCCTTGTCGCCGACGAGGCGGTAGCCCGGGCTGCAGCGGACGCGCACCTTGCGCCCGTCCGGGATGACGCCGCCCTTGACGCGGCCGTGCGGGATCACCAGCCGCGAGCACGACGCCGCGGAGGCTGCGGAGCATACCAAGGACGCCGTCAAGCAACTCGTCAAAGATGCCATCGAGGACGCCGTCGAGGACGCCGTCGAGGACGCCGTCGAGGACGCCGTCGAGGACGCCGTCGAGGACGCCGTCGAGGACGCCGTCGAGGACGCCGTCGAGGACGCCGTCGAGGACGCCGTCGAGGACGCCGTCGAGGACGCCGTCGAGGACGCCGTCGAGGACGCCGTCGAGGACGCCGTCGAGGACGCCGTCGAGGACGCCGTCGAGGACGCCGTCGAGGACGCCGTCGAGGACGCCGTCGAGGACGCCGTCGAGGACGCCGTCGAGGACGCCATCGAGGACGCCGTCGAGGACGCCGTCGAGGACGCCGTCGAGGACGCCGTCGAGAACGCCGTCGAGGGCGCCGTCGAGAACGCCGTCGAGGACGCCGTCGAGGACACCGTCGAGGACGCCATCGAGGACGCCATCGAGGACGCCGTCGAGGACGCCGTCGAGGACGCCGTCGAGGACGCCATCAAGGACGCCATCGAGGACGCCGTGCAGGACGCCGTCCAGGACGCCGTCCAGGACGCCGTCCAGGACACGGTCAAGGACACCGTCAAGGCCAGAGCCCAGCGCGCGGTCCCGTTCGGAAACTTTGCCAGCAGAGCGCACAGTGCACATACATCTCCATGCGCCCACACACAATGTAAGCAGTAAATAAGCCGAGAGGGAAAAGAAAATGGAAACTCTCTCGACAGGCTCAAGCAGAGCGAAGCAGAGCGACGGAGATAGTAATCTGGTTTCGGCAAAGGGGAGATGTCAGGCCCCACCGCCGCGCCCCGCTCCACCCCACCCAGTCAAGTCGTCGCGAAAATGGCAGGCGGCAATTGTCCTTTTCTAAGCGCGCCGCGTCGCGCCCGGGGCCTGCAGCGCGCCACGCCACGCCACGCTGCGCTACGTTCCAGCCTGGGGCCGAGGCAAGCGGCAAGCCGAAGCGGCAAGCCGAGGTCCGCCGCGCCTTCTCCGCTTCCGACTTCCGGTCCCCCTGCCTCTGCACCAGAGGAAAAATAAAAAGAGAAGGGTGGTCCCCTTTTGTATAGCTGCTTCAAATTTTCTAAAGACCCTGGAACCGGTACCGCCGTGACCCTAAAAATAGCGCGAACGAAAGGGGAAGGGCGCAAGGGGCCGAGTAACAACGCACACAGATAGGCAACGCGGTTCGGCCGCCGATAAGCTGATTCGCTTCGCACCACGCCGGCGGCCTGCCTGGCCTGCCTGCCTGCCTTGTTTGGTTCGAAAGTCGGTCAAGGCGGCGGCAGTGGTGGGCGGCAGGGCGGCGGCCCGCGTCCGAAAAAAAGACCCACCCGCACAATCAGAGGCAAATTGTTTTATGAATCCAATTGGTCCTCGGAAAACCTGAAGAGGCGGCTCCATAAGGACCTAAAAACCACAGCGGGGGGGCCGTCGCTCCTCTGGTGGCGGTTGGTGGAAGGCGACAAGTCGCACTTTACCCGACTTTGCCCCTGTATGTAGGCAACTTTCGCGACATCGCCCTTCTAAACCTCTGGGGGGTCTCCACCTAAAACCGTCTCTGAGTCCGCCCTGGGCGGTGAGACCGGGCGAGACTCACATGATTCGCGGATCGCCGCCACCGCGGCTGTGGACGCGAGGAGCAGCAGCCACGTCCACGACGAGGTCCACGTCCACGACGTCGCCCTCCAGGAGGCGGTGCTCATTGCGGTGCTGGACCTCTCCACTTTCCACACGGGCCGCACCTTCACCGAGCTTCACCACCGGCGCACGCGGTCTAAGCGTAGTTTGCGTAGGCGCGCAAACTGCCTCTTCAGCGCCGTCGACCGCATATGACACTGGCCGAGTCCTGGGCGGTGCACTTGTTGACGACGTGCCTCGTGCGCGCCGAGTCCGTGTGCGGGAGTGCGACGCGCTCGGCGAGGCGTGGACCGTGCTGCTGGCGGCCGCACACAGTGTATACGCAGTTCGCAGTCGGACGCACGCACGATACTGATTAGTGCAGCCACCCCGGCCCGGCCGGCCCGGGCCAACCGTTGAGGCGGCCGTCAAGAAAGGCCGCCAACCCCGCGCCGCCCGGCCCAGCCCGGCCCCGCCGCCGAGGCCCCCGCCCGCCTCCTCCAAGACCCTGGCTATCGCGGTGCCGCGTGGCTCGGCTTTGCGTACGGCTGTGCGAGCAGGCTTTGCTCGCTTTGCTCGCTCGGCGTAGGGCAAGGCAAATACTCTGGAGGGCCGTGGGCCGAGTGCCGGGTCAGTGAGGGGTGTAGAAAGAGCGGCCCGGCCACGCGCCGGAAGGGCAAGACGCGCGGAGAACAGAGAACACGAGGTGAGGCGGCAGGGACGCGGGTCGGACGGCACGGCGCAGTTTGCAACCTTTTTCGCGGCCCAACCCCGGGCCGGCTCGCTTGCCACCCGCTCCGGGTGGATGACAATGCGGAAGGGTTCTCGGCTGGCTTGCGCCCCGCCACGCCTTGCATTCCTCTTTGTCACAGCGCGCAGCAACCAGCAGCAGCGCCAAGCTATTTCGTTAGAATCCATGACAAGTATTCTGTCCCCCGGGCCACCGATCCTCCGCGCGGCGGGGCTGCTGCCGCTGCGTCAAGTCTCGCCTTCCAAAGCCGAGCTGCTGGAGTGTGAGCTGGACTCCAGGCGGATTCCGAGCAGTGCTCTCTCTCTCTCGCACTCATTCATTGGGCGAACGCTGCGCGTGCACTGCATGCAGTAACGGTGTGACGGTGATGTTTCTGCTGGTCGACGTGCAGTGGGTTGCCTACCCGCCCCTGATAGCCGCCCTCGGATTAGGCAACCCATCGTACTCGTCGACCGCGGCGTGTCGAGGCTTGGGGGCGATGCCGTTCAATTTGCCTGTCGCCGTGCCAGGCCCTGGCCGTGCCATGCCGTGCCGTGCCACGCCCTGGCCGTGCCGTGCCATGCCGTGCCGCGCCCTGGCCGTGCCGTGCCATGCCGTGCCACGCCCTGGCCGTGCCGTGCCATGCCGTGCCACGCCCTGGCCGTGCCGTGCCATGCCGTGCCACGCCCTGGCCGTGCCGTGCCATGCCGTGCCACGCCCTGGCCGTGCCATGCCGTGCCGTGCCACGCCCTGGCCGTGCCGTGCCATGCCGTGCCACGCCCTGGCCGTGCCGTGCCGTGCCACGCCCTGGCCGTGCCGTGCCGTGCCATGCCGTGCCGCGCCGCGCCCTGGCCACGCCCGAGGCTCGGGGCTGGGGCTGTCAGGGGGAGTGTCGGGAGCGCCGTTCATGAGTGCGAGCCAAGAGAAATGGCCTTCTCGGGGCGACTGGCCGACGACGGGTCGGGACGGGACGGGGCACCCTCCGCCCGCACCGCGACCCCGCGACGACGCCGAGCCGCGCGCCGCCGAGTCCTCTGCCCCCCGGCGACGCCCTCGCCCCCCCCCCCCCCCCCCCGGCCCTTGCCTCGCCTCGCCGCCCCGATATAGTGTTTCCAAATGAATAGCGCAAAGCCATGTTCGGAATACGAATAAGGCGATTCCCAGACCGGAGTCGAATCGGGGCAGATTCGATATTATCAGTGCGAGCGCGTGGCGGCACGGCGGCGTCCTCCTTCGGCTCTTCTCCACTCCATGACCTCCGCCTCGCCTCGCCTCGCCTCGCCTCGGCCGGCATCAATTACATTGTTTCATTTGGCTTTCGCGCGGAAACAGCCAGGAATCCTATAAACAGCTCGGCGGCTCCGGTTACCGCAGCGAGGGGCCGAGGGCGAGGCGGCGAGGCGGCGCACCCGCTCTGTCGCCACCACGGCGACACCGACGGCGTCTCCGTCGCTGTGCCAGGGGCGGATCCAGGATTTAGTCAGCAGGAGATTAGGTATTGCTGTTTGCCGACTTGCAGGCGGTTTACCCAGTACCCAAGGAAGGGGTAGCTACCCCCACTGCCCGTCTCCTGGATCAGCCAGCGCCTGCGACACGGCCGGCGTCCACTGTGAGAAAAAAGTACGGAAAAAGTACGGAACCTGTCTGGTCAATAATTTGCCAGGACCGTCTGTACTTGCCAACTACGGACGTTCCGTACCTTTTTTCCGTACCCATTTGCATGGGTTCATATGGAGCAAGTACGGAACGTTCCGTACTTTTCTCCGTACCTCCGTACTATATTTTTCTGTACCATTTCCGTACAAAAGTACGGAATTTTTTACAGTGTCATCACGGTGGAAGGGAAGGTGGCAGAGAAACGACAGGAACGGTACTCGCATGTAGTGTCTCGCTCCAAACAGCAGCACGCAGCCGCTTTTCTCAAAATTGATATTGGGCCGGGTGTGTGTGTGTGTGTGTGTGTGTGTGTGTGTGCGTGTGTGTGTGTGTGTGTGTGCAGGAAACGTCCGCGCGACGCCGGCCCCGCCAGCCGCGCCACAATCGGGACAAGACGTTTCCGGACGGGCCCAGCCACGGCCCAGCCACGGCCCAGCCCGCGCTTAGCTGAGATTCCTGTTTTTCGACACTTGTGTCCTTGGGAGGGCAGCTGCCTGGGCGCGTGCCGCGTGCCGCGTGCCGCGTGCGTCGCGCTGCGGACTCTGCATACACTTTGAATACGAATCCACGCGGCGCGACACCTGACAAGGTGGGCCGCTCTTGGTCCGTCTTCGCGGGCTTCGCGGCCCGCCGTACGAAATGAAGGCGCCTCCATCACGTAACCGGAGAGAATTACAGGGCAAAGCGTAAAATGACTTTCATGGAAGAAACTCCATTTAGTGTCATTTTGTGGGTTAGCTGTGTACCGGCGGAGTGTCTTGCTGACTCGAACCGCTAAAGGTCTGCATAGGCCTAGCAGCGTTGATGATGATGATGATGATGGTCACCGTTTACGAGTTGTCGACACCTGTATTTCGTGGCGGTTCGGAAGCGGGTCACTTTCCTCGTCTTCGACCGGGATAGCCAAGAGTGTGATTCTCTGGGCGGACGGCGGAATGCGGCGAAGGTTCTGAAGGAAACGGCTGCTTATCAGAGTCGTGGCCGTGGCCGATAGCGAGGGAAGGGCCGCAAGGGCACGCCCAACCCTTCCAGTTTCACCAGCAAACTGGTTCAGAGAGCCGTTTTTTTTTCGTCGCTCTGTCTCTCTCGCACTCATAGGGCGTCCCGTACAGATGCGAGAGAGACAGAGCGACGAAAATTTCTATATGAATCAGTCTGCACTGCAGCCTCCAGTAGGAGTAGTGGCGACAACCTACCGGCGGGTCTCCCTGGCAGTGGCGCTACTCCTCGCGAGTGGCACGGGGCACGGGGTATCGCCATCGGCCTGCTCCAGCCGGCTGGCTGGCTCGCCATTGGCTGACTCGCCAACCGACGAGATGCACCCCTGTTCGGTTCTGCGTAAAGTTAGTGGTGGAAGGTTTGATTGTCACGTTGTCTGATAGTGTCACTGTTAGCAATAGCGTTTTTCTAAAAAAGTTTCAAAAATCGTTTTGCTTTAACCAACTGAAGCAGAACCGCCCAGCGGAGCACACCGAGCCAACGCCGATGAGTGAGTCACGCTCACCCTGCCCCAACATTTCCAAAGGAACACTCTAGTTTTCCATGGAGGAAAAACGGAAAAACACGCAGTGTACCGCCGTGACGAGCGCTCTCTGTCGGGCAAAGCGTACACTTCCGGCTCCGCGCTGCACTAGTGGGCACGGAGTATCGGCAGCGGGCAGCGACGCCCGAAGAGGGTTCGTTCTTTCTTGGGTGCCGAGCGAGAGGCCAGTTTTAGTGTTTTCGACTTCGACAAGGTCGGACGCTGGGTTTCTTGATTAGGACTCGACCAACGGAGATCGACAATCGTTAGATTGCTCCATGGGACGTGGGGGGTGCGCTTGAATGAGCAGACCAAGCTGTTTCGTCACCTGCCGAGGGAGGGCGCCACTGGTAGGCCGTAGCAGACAACCACTTTAAAAACATGTTGCCACAACACACAACCTACTTTTGACAGTAGATGTCAGTTTTAAGTACGATTCAAGCATGTGTTCGTGATTTGGGGATGATTGAAAAGCTTTCTGATGTTTTTAGAATAAACTCATAGGAGCTCTACCACCTCCATAGGGCGGTGCACAGTTTATAATATTCTGACAGGTTCCGTAACTTGTGGGGACGTACACCGTATCAAGATGTCGGAGCCCAAACTACTTGTTACGTCTCAGTTTAATTTTTGAAACATTGGCCGTTTTAGATCGCCATGACACTGTTTGAGAGTAAATTCGCGTGCATATGAATTTTACATTCATCACTGCGTTGGTTCCATCTCCCTAAGTGCACTGAAAGGTTAATCCTTTTCTCAGAATGACTAGTTACGTCAACCGCAGTAGCCATCGCAAGTCCGAGTGAGTATCAACATCAACAAACAATTTGATTCCTTTCCCCTCTAAAATCTCTTTAGCCCTCTGCCCAGTTATTGTTTCACTACTATATTATCATACGCTCTGATTCCTTCCTGGCTAAGTCCAACTGTGATAGAATTGTTCAAAAGGCTAGGTGCCATTTATTGCTCAAAATGGATTGAAGACTAATATTTTGCCATAAATCAGTGTCTTGGTTTTGTTATTCCACTTATAAGTATTACTGGTTTGTTGTAAGCCCACATCTCATGTTTCAGTGATGCGATGGATGATGATACTGATGACAAAGACGATACTAAGCGGTAAGTTTGATGAGAAGCCATATAAGTTAATTTTTCATTCCTCAGATTCTGTTTACTAATTTTCACTCTTATTGTAAAGTTTTATTAATAGTACTTAGAACTTCCTTACCTACCATATTTTGTTCATTATTACATGCATTTCTTAAAATTTGCTTGAAGCCAATTGTATTTACACATTTTCTAACATTGATTTACGTCATTTTCATTTTTTGTTGACTGAATTAAAGTATGTCTGTTAAGCGTGACAAAGTGAGAACAAATTTTATCCAGCTTTATCCTCAGAATGTTAAAATTAACCTAAATAACAGTAAAGAAATATTGTTCAGTCTAATGTCTATCCCTGCTTATTCACATTATTTTATTCCAGGAAATCTCGCAATCTCAGCGAGAAAAAGCGCAGAGATCAGTTTAACATGCTTATTAACGAACTCAGCTCCATGGTTTCCACTAACAATCGTAAAATGGACAAGTCAACTGTTCTGAAATCAACAATATCGTTTTTGAAGAATCACAATGGTAAGAACAGGGTCAAATAAGATAGAGCATATTTTGCGCCGTTATTCTTCTTCCTCTGTCTTTTTTTTTATTTCCTGCCTTTTTTCCTTTGTCTACTTTCCATGACCTTCCATTTGCTATGCATTGTCAGTTTTTTTTTTTTTTTTTTTCACTTGTTAACTTGTAATTTTGTTGTTTCCAGAGATATCTGTAAGATCTAGAGCCCATGAAATACAAGAGGATTGGAAGCCTTCCTTTCTGTCTAATGAAGAATTCACACATCTTGTGTTGGAGGTATGGACGTCTTAATACTTACTTTAACAAAATTCTGCACCTATGTGGAAAATTAATAACATACTGTACTGTATCTATTTTTCAAACATTTAAAAAAAATTGTTCTTATTTCCTTGTTTTCATTCTAGGCTGTAGATGGTTTTATTCTTGTATTTTCTGCTACTGGGAAAATATTTTATGCATCTGAAAGTATAACTTCCCTACTTGGTCACTGTCCAGTAAGTACCTCCTCACATAACTTATGATTGCCTCTGTAATTAATTTTTTCTATGTATAGAATGTGCTTGTGCAATTTTAGTTGCTGTCATGAAATCTTTCTAAATCTCTGTTCGGAATTTTGTTTCAGAATGACCTTTTGAACACATCTTTATATGATATAGTGTATGAAGAGGACCAAACAGACCTCTATAATCTTATGCTCCAACCTAATGTTTCTGTAGATCCAGTAAATTATGACAGCAGCAAAGGTAACTGAAGAAAACTATTGTTTCATTCTCTTTGTCTGCTATTTAAATTCAAAAGCTGTTGATTTAATCTATTGTTTCAACAGAAAATCAACTTTCATTCGCCTGTCATGTAAGGAGAGGTGGCCTGGATTGCCGAGGAGAAGTAATTTATGAATTAGTACAATTTGTTGGATATTTTCGTAAGTTGTAGTTCACTTTTAGTAGGTAAACAGCACCAATCATTCTGGGCAACTTGAAGGTTCTCGGTTTTTAACCTTTGTTTTTCTTCTGTGTTCTTTGCTAGGATCTGACATTGATAGTCATGAAACAGACAACCTCAACTCTTTATGTATGAGTGGATTTTCCAATGATACAGACACTAGGTATGAAGTCTAATTTTGAATTGTTCATATCATAAAGCTATCACTTTATTTAAAGCTTTTTTCCTCCCCAAAACAGATTAATTTTTGTTGGCACTGGACGGTTACACCAGCCCCAGCTCATTCGTGAAATGGCTCTAGTAGACTCGGTTAAAAGTGAATTCACATCAAGACATAGTCTTGAATGGAAGTTTCTATTTCTAGATCACAGGTAAGTTTTGTACTGTCTTGTCTTAGGGATTTTTATTTCTACTTTGTAAGGATTCTTTCATTCTTGATCATTTTTTGTGTATTTCAGAGCACCCCCAATTATTGGGTACCTACCTTTTGAAGTGCTTGGCACATCTGGCTATGATTACTACCATGTTGATGATTTAGACAAGGTTGTTACCTGTCATGAAGCATGTAAGTGTCGAATTGAGTCTTCCCTTTTATCACTTGGTGTGCCTCCACATTTAGTGAATACATTGTGTTGTTGTTGCAGTAATGCAAAAGGGTGAGGGCACTTCGTGTTACTACCGCTTTTTAACAAAAGGCCAGCAATGGATTTGGCTACAGACAAGATTCTACATAACGTACCATCAGTGGAACTCAAAACCTGAGTTTATTGTGTGTACCCACAGAGTTGTCAAGTAAGTTTTTTACTATTTATCATACATAATTTAAGGATCAAAACAATTCTGATTTAAAAAATAAATCTGTTTCTTCTTTTTTTTCCAAGTTACATTACTGCAATGCGCCAGTCCAGGGGGGAAACGGATCCTGCTGGGGACCACAATGGTAGTCAAGATGACAATGAAAATATGCCTCTTGATTCTGACCATAAGCTTCAAACTGTTGCTGCATCATCACCTTGGTCCTCTAAATCATCAGGTAACCTTACTACAAAGTTTTTGTTTCAAAATTAAATACTGCAGGTTCTTTAGAGTGAATCTCACAATGAAAATGGATATTTTTCTATCAGTTGGGAAAGCCTCACGGTTGGCCTTGACTAATGTCAGCTCTCCGGCTCCATCTGGTTCAATTGTATCAACTGGAGCGAGAGGACGAGGCCAAATGTCGTTCCATGGCACTGGGCCTGACTCTGACTCAAACTCCATGTCAACCGATTCCGTCACATCAAGACAGTCACATCCTAGGGCCAACTCCCATGGAGCCTCCATGCGTGGACAGAACAGTGTAAGTCTCTTATTGAAATACAGATCCACTCTACTTTATTCATCAGTTCTTGTTTTTTTAATTGTAGTTTTCACCCTTCTGACTATCCTTTGCTTGTTGATTGTTTTACTGAGTTAACTCCAGGTCTTTCTTTTCACAGCAGCGCTATCATTCTGTCTCTCAACCAAGCACTTCTTCTGGAATCCAACACTCGGCTGAGCCGCCAGCCAAACTTCTGTGCAGTCAATTACCTTCAGCGCCCAGTGTGGCGGTCCAAGCAATGCCAAGCATGCAAGCTGTGCCGAACATTCCGCCTGCAGAGCCTCCTCCGCAGGCACCTCATCCCCAGCAGTTCATGGCAGCCATTCCCGTTCAGCCTGTGATAGCCGGAGGCTTCAGCGCCCCTGCGGCTACTGTGTCTACTTCGGCTGAGGTAAAATAAAATCTCACTTTTAAGGCACAGCGAATTATTTGTAGCGGTAATTTGAGATATGATGGTAATTTTACATTTGTTTTACAGTTGCTATCTCAGCCAGTAATGATGAGCCCAGCGCAGACACAGTACCAAGAGCAACTTCAGAGGAAGCATGAAGAACTTCAGCAAATGATATTGCAACAGCAGCAGGAACTGCGTCTAGTGTCTGACCAACTTCTGATGGCTCGTTATGGAATTCTTCCAGCATCCCTGCTCAATGTTAGTAAACTTTTATTTTTGTACTAGAAGCCGTAGAAGCCATGCTTCAATAATAGCAGAAATCTGTTCCCTACCTTAATTGTTGTTTTGTTTTATTTAGGTGTCGCTTCCCTACACAGTGGCAAGCAATGCTGTGGGGTCCACTGTAACTCAAGCTCTGGCTCCAACTTCAATACCCATTCCAGTGCCTGCATCTTCAGAACTTTTTGTAACTCCACATCACCACTCTCTCGTTCATTCGCCTCTTGCTGTTGCTCCTCCTGTGGTTGTGGACCCTCAACAGGTAATGCAACTGGACTTAGTTGAAGCATGGTTTTTGAACGAGTAGAAATTTTGACCGTGGGTCATGGTCCTCCTGTGGACAACCAACCCATCCAAGTTACGGATGTGAAGCCAACCCAAGGCTACGAGTTGGAACCCCTAACTTAAATTGAACTTGAACTTGTCATACTGTTGCTGTCTAATTTTTGAAAGTACTATACCTTGCCTACTTTGTTTAGATTAACCTTCAAACCGGAACTGAGGATATGGTTCCTTTCCAACTATCTCAACAACAGGCCCAGTTGTTGTTAGCATCCAATTTTAACCCCAACACTACAAATCAACATCGTCAATAAATTTATTTGTATTTCATGTGTTGGGAGTATTGAGTGCAGACCTCCGAAATTCAAATGTGTTAAACAAGAACCAATGAGGCCTATATATCTAGAAATTCCATTTTACTTCAGTATTGAAATGTGTGAGTGGTCGAGTGTGAAAGTATCCAAAGCTGTGCGTGTGCTTGTGAAATATTAATTAACTTACGAACCTAAATACCATACTGGTTTTAAACTTTAAAAAATAATAAATATTTTGGGATTATGTAACCTACATATACAGTATATTTATATTTTTAGGGAAAGATTTTAAACAGTTGCCTGTGGTTTATTTTGTGATTTAAAAAAAAGCCAGTCATCATTTAGTTAAACATGACTTTATGTACCTTGATGGTTCCTGTTTTGACGGATCTAGTTCATATTATGTTTATTTGACGGTTTTGTGAATTGCTCAGGGCGTGTGATTGGTGTGATCAGTCTGTGAGTGTGTCCTTCTAGTGATTGATTATAAGGAATGATTCTTTTTTTCTTGCCCTTGCCATTCTTCTGTTATAGTAACCAAACTAATTTCAACAAATACATTGAGTAATTTTATACATTGACACAGGATTTTGTCCTCCAGTAAGTGTTTAAGTGAAACCGTTCTTTTCTTTTTGTATGTTCTTTCATACACATTTTTTCCCCTGTTTTCTTTTACATGTTCATTAAGTTTCCTTTTGTGTATGTCAATACAAAGGTGAAGGTTATGAGTATTGCCTGGAACTGGGTGTAATTTAGTCATTCAATTCACATTTATTTCCTTTACCAATTGGCATGTGTGAAGTCCAAACATAAATTCACATTCAAGTTACCCTAACAGCTATTCTCGTAATGCTCGTATTTTTCTGTCTTTGTCAGCAGAGGGCTATTTTTTTGTCAAGAACATACTCTCCTGTGGTAAGACATTCCTTCCATCTCTCACCATTTTAAATGTTATTATTACATTTTGTCAATGGCGACACTTATTTTATTTACCCTATCAATGTAACCTGTGCCAAAATACATCAATATAAGTTAGGATTCAAGCAAAATGTGTCAACCTTTTGTGTTGTGGAGATAAGAATCTACATATTTTTGAAAGTTACCTGAAGTATGATGTTAGGGTAAGTGGGGTGTTTAGGGATAGCATTTATTTTAATGATAGTGGTGTTTGAAATCATATATGGTATGCTAAACATGTACAGTGAGCAGCCGATTACAACTGAGTGTGTTTCTGGCATTCGTGGACCAAGTCAACCTTTTAAACCAGTAATTTTTTATTTAAATTCTGTATGCTTGATTTAGGGAATTGACAGAAACACAGTGTGCTGTGTTAAATTTTATTTATTTATCATAATTTAGCTAAAGAGACAAGTTGTTATGGTAAAGCTTTGTCTGTGTGCCATCATGTTTTAGGTGAAATTGGTGATGACAACAGTAATAATTGTATCAATTATTCTCTTGTTATTCTATTCATTTAGCCATGTTAATAATTGCCGTAGAGTACAAAATTTGAAAGTCAGATCATGTAAGTACAGTTTAGAATCAATGGTACCATAATAGTACAAAAGATGTGAGGATTTCCTCAGGTAAATGTGTGCTGTACATATTATAATAATCAAGATTTTTTTCTACCATTTATAAGATAATTTTTTTAATGTTTGTGCAACATAGCAGATATACATTCCTATCTTCTATTCTTCTATTATGTGTTTTTGAGAATGATGGCCAGTGATGCTTCATGTCTTTCTCATCCTCGGTCGCAGCTATTTTGTGTTGAATTGCATGCATTTTGTTCATATTGATGCCTCTGTAGAATCTACCTTGATCTCACTTGTTGTGTGTTGATTTTTTACAGAGGTGTTTTTCTGAAGGCATTATTTTTGCTGTAATCAAAGCAAAGTTTTAGGTATACAATCGCTTTTTGGGTTTTAGTGGGACATGTAATTTTACTGCCATATTAGGTACTATTGCTAATACTTTATTTTCTACCTTTCTTAGCGCTCTGTCCACTTTGTCAATCTTGCTGTTCAACACCTTTTGCTTTCATTATTGTTATCCATAACCGGGCATTAATTGGTTTGCAGGTTTAAAAAAAGTTTATAAGGCTTTGGGCATGTTAAAATTTTCTTGAAAATATATTTCTAGCAATGTTACACAACTTTACCTGAATTGTATAGATGTCTTTGAAGCACAAAAATAAGGAGCTATTATGTCATTAATTTGTTAAAGTGTTGCAATGTAATAGACCAAATAGTTATATTTCAGTCCTGAACATGACTACCACATTTTAGTGGATGTGTACAGTTATGCATGTTCTAATTAAGTCAGCAGAGTTCATGTGCCTCAAATGTGTGCTTGTTCTGCTGTAGGTGATAGATTATATTTTCTGCATTCAGGGGATGAACTTTTTATTTTAAATCATGCATGAAGAAACTTGTTCCTCCCAGGTATTTAGTACAGAATTTTCTTGTTTTTGTTTTGTTTTGAAAATTTTCATAAAATAAAAATATAACATTCAAGTTTTATGCTGCCTACTATTTTGTCCATTTCACTTCCTTCTCCCCAACTTTCACACTGGGTCACGCTGCACAAGGTGCTGCACTGGAAGGCGGGAAGGTCACCACAGAACGCTTTGCAGTCAAGGTCGAAAGGCTATGGACGATGGGTTGCCTTAACTTTCTGGTGCAATGCTCAAATACATTTAATTTTTGGTAGAAAAAAACAGTTTGTGTCCGAAATGGCCCTCTAGATAGTGTCAGGAGTCTTGAGGGAGTGCTCCAGCACAGCATACTCAAATTTGGGTCATTTTAAATTTTTTGCTCAAAACGTGAAAAATCCATGATGCATTTGCATTTATAATAGCCTTAGCCTTTTTTCGACGAAAATGGTCAACCTCGTCGGATTTGTCTGAAATTCGTGAAACAGATGGCCGGTGCCCTAAAGGTCTTTGGTACATTTTATTCGGTGTTAAAATGGCTTTTCCCGAGACGCTCGTTGAGTTGAAAAAGCTGTGGACGGTGGGTTGCCTATCTACGTGGCACACGCACAAAGCGTTCCAGTTTTTTCGCCAGAAAAAGACTCTTCAGGGCCGAAATGGCCCTCGAAGTAGTGTTAGGAGTCTTGAGGGGGTGCTCTAGCACAGCATACTCAAATTTGGACCATTTTGAATTTTTTGCCCAAAACGTGAAAAAACCATGATGTATAGCCTTAGCTTTTTTTCGACGAAAATGGTCGACCACGTCGGATTTGTCTGAAATTGATTAGGAACGTTGCTATGGGTCTAAGGAAGAGCTATCCGGTGCCCAATGGTCATCGACACATTTCAATTGTCGTGAAAATGACTTTTCCCGTAACGCCAGTTGGGTGCTAGCGGTGAAGAGGCTGTGTACAAAGCGTTGCCTACCTTCAGGCGCAGACTAAAACATTTCCGAAAATTTTCGGCGAGAAAAAGACAGTTTATTGCCACAATGATGCCCGAAATAGGGTCAGGAGTCATTAGGGAGTGTTCCAGCAGAACATACCTCACTTTGGGCCATTTAAAATTTTTGGCCAAAAACGTGAAAAAACCATGATGTATAGCCTTAGCTTTTTTTCGACAAAAATGGTCGACCTCTTCAGATTTGTCTGAAATTCATATGGCACGTTGCTATGGGTCTAAGAAACAGATATCCGGCGCATAATGGTCTTTGACGCATTCTATTTGGCGTGAAAATGACTTTTCCCGTGACGCTAGTTGAGTTGAAGAAGCTGTGGACAGTGGGTTGCCTACCTATGCGGCGCATTCTCAAAGCATTCCAGATTTTCACCGGAAAAAGACCATTCAAGGCCGAAATGGCCCCCGAAGTATCTTTTCTCTACATTCCTATGCCTTGGGCCGAGTGCAGAGAGAAAGGGAGGGAAGGAGAGTCGTAAGATTATGGTGAAGCAGGAGAGGTAGGCAACCCCTCTTGTGGTCACAAGGAAGGCCGTCTGGGCTGCCTGGCCTGCGCCGAGCAGCTCTGCTACCCGAGGTACCCGCCGAGCCGGCTCGGCACAGACGGGGCACAGGGCCTCGCACAGGGCCTCGCACAGGCCGCGCCGACAAGGGGAGGCTCTAATTGAAATTGAGATTATACGAACGGCCCAGGCAGGCGGCCCGACCGGAGCGAGTGAGACAGAGACAGGGCCTAAAAAGCCTAAAAGGTCTGTCGGCCCGGCAGATTACAGCCCCGGCCGGCCGACGCCTTACGCCCCGAAACATTCGGTACAGGAGCCGCGCCGGGCTGCCAGCAAGCTGCCAGCGGGTCTGGCCGGCCGGCCGGCCCCCGAGGCCGGGGCGAGGCCGGGGCAGAGGCTCTTGTGCCGCGCCCGCGCCGACACCTCAGGTGCCGACACTCCGACACTTAGAAACAGGTTCGCTTGGCTTTTTATTGGGTGAAGTCTCTCCGGGGAGCCAATCTTGTTACATTTTGATCGATCTCTTCATTGCAGCTCTAGTCGGCGGGGCCGTGGCCGTCACCGAGGCCGTCCTGCCGAGGCCGTCGCCGAGGCCGTCCTGCCGAGGCCGTCGCCGAGGCCGTCGCCGAGGCCGTCGCTGAGGCCGTCGCTGAGGCCGTCACTGAGGCCGTCCTGCCGAGGCCGTCGCCGAGGACGTCGCTGAGGCCGTCGCTGAGGCCGTCGCTGAGGCCGTCACTGAGGCCGTCCTGCCGAGGCCGTCGCCGAGGACGTCGCCGAGGCCGCGGACGGGAGGCGGCGCGGCCGTCTTCCGCGGAACGCGCCCGCCGAGGTCAGAGGTCGCCCCGCAGGGCCGGAGCCGCACAGTCTGGCAGTCTGGCCGGTGTGCAGGGCGGCGGGCGGCGGCCCCACGCCTCCCTGTGACTCCCCCGTGCCGCCCGCATATCAAACACGCCATCTCGTGTCTGCCGCGCCACGCCGTGCCACGCCGTGCCACGCCGGGACTGCCGGGACGCAGTCTGCTGGTCGACCGGGGCCTAATTTGCCTAATTACGTATCATTTCCAAGCAGGCTGCTTGCGCGGCCGGGCATCGCGCAGCGCCTGTTATCGCTTTACGGTTGGTTAGAATGGTTATGCTGGTTAGAATGGGGAGGGAGGGGGAGGACCAACACGGCCTCCACCACGGCACGGCCTCCTCCGTGAAGCACACTCGTCTCTTCCGGGGCTCCATCTAGTGGTCAAATGTGACATATCCACTGGAACACACAAACTCAAAATTGAACAACAACGCCGAGTGCGTGGTCACGCGGACACGCAAACTTATAAAACCGAACGCACACGTGCCCACTAATACTAATTCACGAAAGTAACTTTCGCCTGTTTTTTATTCTTTTTAAACAGTCTCAAAGCCGAAGCCGCCCGGTAAGAAGCATGTCGAGGTGTGAGGTGATCAGCAACAAGCTCCCCCTCCCCCCTCTCTTTTCTCTGTCGGTACGCCGGTGCGCCCTGTGATGTGTGAGAGCGGCTTGTGTGAGGTGAGGCCGGCTTGTAATTTGCACGATCCGGTCACCTCCTCAGCAGCCCAAGGCCCCCCCTCTCCCCCCCCCCCTTCCCCAATCCCGAGACAGGTGGAGGAGGGCCGCGCGCAGCAGGTCTATCACCCGTGTACGAGATTTGACATGATGAAAGGCGCGTCAGTTTTTGTTTGAGATTCCTGCGGCCCAACAACGACGGGGAATAAATAAATTTGATTAAGTGGGATCGCATCAAAACATTAGAATAATTCTTTTGTTTGCGCGAGGCTGGCGGCGCTGTGCGGGCAACTCGCATCAACCTCTCTCTTTTTTTCACCGTATACAAAAAAATTATAAAATGAATTCAACTCTCCGTCTGCAACTTTGGCGCGAGCGAGAGGCTGGAATCTGTCCGTTCTCTCGAGCCGTTGCCTAAATGTAGGTCAGGCGGTGTGCCATCGGGCGTCGGCCGCGCCGCGCAGTTGAACGGATCGATGCCACTTCGTGTAACTTCGTGCCACTTAGGCTGACAAATTACGCGAGCAAGTTAAAGAGCGCCGGCCGATGATTGCAAGGCCTGTCACGCCACTGCCAACATCACCCTCGTCAGGCAGGAGTCGCTCCTCCGCCCCTCGCCCGACGGCGGAGCCGACGGCGGTCCGGGATAGCACCTCGCCGTCGACGCGGTGCGCGCACCGCCAGGGCACCGCCGGATGCGGACTCGCTCGTCCGTCGCGAAGATCTCGCTCCTCTCGTCGTGCAGCGAGTTGAGAATCCGCGGTGTCTCCGCGGGGGGGGGGGGGGGGGGTGTCTACGTGCATCGCCAACCCGGTTGACGAGTTAATTCAAACGCGTCGTCGTCCACCTGCGGGGCGGGGCGGCGCGGCGCGGGGTGGGGCGACGCGGGGCCGTTGTACAATGTGTGCCTATGCATCTGCCATGCGTGTCAGGTTGAAGAGCCTAGCTAATTGAATGAAGCGTCTTAATAACGGGCTGCCACCCCGGGGGTTGGCCCGCCTCCCGCCCTGCCCCGCCTCAACCCTTTCCAGGTAATGGAAACTACCTGCGTGCCGCTCCGCCACGGCCGCGGCGGCGTGTGCATGTGCAGTGCAGTCGCGGTGCTTCGCGGTGCGCCGGGCCGCGTGGCTTGGCGGTCCACTCGCTAGATGGCGTCGCCGAGCACGCCGCGCACGCCGCGCTGGGCGGCTCGCCGACGCCGGGGCCTTTACGGCCTTTATGGGATTCGAGGCGTCAAATAAAATTATTGATGGCAGTTTGACTCGCGGCCAGGCAGGCCGGTTGGTCCGCCCGGCCCGGCCTGCAGAACGTGCCGCGTGGCGCGCCCTGGCGGCGGCGCGGCCAACCACAAGAGCGACAAGTAACTGCAGACTGATTCCAAGAGTCGTTTTCGTCGCCTTGTCTCTCTCACTCTCATGTGGCGTCCCGTATAGGTGCGAGGGCGACAGAGCGACGAGAACGACTCTCGGAATGAGTCTTCTGCAGCAGTTGCGGGCTGGAGGCAGCGCGGCTTGCTGGTGGCCGAACAGGGCACGATCCAGGACCACACTCGTCGCCGCGTTGTCGGGCCCAAGGCCGAAACCGTTTCCGGTGTTTTGATTTACCGGCCGCTCATACAACACCTGAAAAGCGTGAACGGGCCGGCGATTAGACATCGGGCTGCGATTGGTCCCACTTTCGAGTCGCTTATCCTGTGTGTCGTCCTTCTCGCACTCGCAGCGAGGCTCCCTGCGAGTGAGAAAGAGAGAGACGGACCAACGAGGTGCAGGCAGGACGGGGCGTCCGGCTGGCTGGCTGGCTGGCTGGCTGGCTGGCTGGCTGGCTGGCTGGCTGGCTGGCTGGCTGGCTGGCTGGCTGGCTGGCTGGCTGGCTGGCTGGCTGGCTGGCTGGCTGGCTGGCTGGCTGCCTGGCTGGCTGGCGGGCTGGCTGGCTGGCTGCCTGGCTGGCTGGCGGGCTGGCTGGCTGGCGGGCTGGCTGGCTGGCTGGCTGGCTGGCTGGCTGGCGGGCTGGCTGGCTGGCGGGCTGGCTGGCTGGCGGGCTGGCTGGCTGGCGGGCTGGCTGGCTGGCGGGCTGGCTGGCTGGCTGGCTGGCTGGCTGGCGGGCTGGCTGGCTGGCTGGCTGGCTGGCCGGCTGGCTGGCTGGCTGGCTGGCTGGCGGGCGGGCTGGCTGGCTGGCTGGCTGGCTGGCTGGCTGGCTGGCGGGCTGGCTGGCTGGCTGGCTGGCTGGCTGGCTGGCTGGCTGGCTGGCTGGCTGGCCGGCTGGCTGGCTGGCTTGCTGGCTGGCTGGCTGGCTGGCCGGCTGGCTGGCTGGCGGGCTCCTCATACCCGGAGATGCTCACTCGGTAGCTGCACTTAACGAAGTCACGTCCGCTCGCTGCATGCCCATGGCTTGCCGCTTGTGTGTAGACCGACAAGGTTCGCCACAACTTCTTGCTTGTTTTATCGTGCCGCCCTGTGCTCGCTCCGACTGCCGGGACTGCCGGGAGCGAGAGGGAAAGCGCTCTGCAGCGCGAGGAAGATCCGTGAAGCCCGAGAGGTTTGCAGTAAATCGATAGTCCAGAGACTGTCGGCGCCAGCCGTGGATTCGGGAGCGAATGTGGAGTCACTCTAGGGGGGCACACCGGCCAGTCCTGGGGGCTGAACGTCCCCGACGCACGACCTCGGTGACGGCTGTGGAACGTAGGCGCGATCCTGGGCACTCGACGGCGGAGGCAGGCGGGGGCAAACGCCGTGGCGCTAGGCCGCGCGCACACTCGCCTGCCGGCCGGGTTGCCTACCCTTCTCGCCACGGCGGCGGCGCCCCCCGCGCCTCGAGACCCTCCCCGACGGCCGGCGGCCTCCGCGTGCCGCGTGCGCCGTTTTTGCCCGACCGGAAACCATTCCGCCTGCACACGAAGCGAGCCGCGATGCAGATGGCGGTGCCGGAGACCGGCGTGTCTGGCGCCTGTGCGCGGGGCGCCCCAGGCTGGGGCGGCGCCGCGGCGCCTGTAGTACTCACCCTGTCGCCACCGAGCTAGCCGAGCACATCTCCAGCAGCCAGCCCCGCCAGGCTACGCCAGGCCGCCACTGCACTGCCACGCCGCCCATCCGCATTAGTGCACTAATTAGAAGAGAAGAGGCCCAGCCCGGCCGGGCCGCAGGCGGGGGGCGTACCGAGGGCCATCCGGGTGGGGCGGGGCGGGGCGGGGCGGGGCGGCCGGCGGTCCGTTTGTACGTAACTAGACAAATGAAGACAATATGAGTGCGACCGGCCGACCGGCCGGCTAGGCCCAGGGCGCAGCGCAGGCGGCTCGATGTGATGTTGAACTTGCCGTGCCGTGCCTGCCTGGGCCTGCCCATGCCTGCCGTGCGCGGCGACCGCAGAGCCGGCCGCAGGCATGCCAACGTAAACAGCCAGGGAAACCACATTGGGCCGGGCACGCCGCGCTGCCCTTTGCCGCATCGTCTGCTGTGACTAGTCGAGATCGGGAGTGATTTCATGCCGCCGTGTGAGCGTGTGCGTCCCGCGCGTCCGTGTGTGCGGCCTGGTCCAATCCCTTTGAGGGCCCATTCCGTACGTCAACATCCGGCTCCGCTCCGCCCTGCCGCTTTCTGCTTTTGAACTTGGGAACTAAATATCGCGCCCTCGGCTTACACGGACTCTTACACGCATCGCGCATGTAGTACGCACTCGGATTCGGGGAATCGCCGCACACGTACACAGTGTCGTTTCCGCCGGTCGCCGTCGCTCTGAAGCGGGACTCGGTCGAGTTGGCGACTCGGTTTGTTGATTCGAATTCGCTTGGCACGAGACACTCTGAACGAATATTCAAATTATTTTCACTGTCTGCTACTTAACGACAGGACGTCGTTGTTTGTCGTTTCGCGCAAATGCCTGGCACTAACATCGTGATTAGAAACACGGCACGGAGACGTATTTCAAGAAAATGACTGACGTTCGCAGTGTCGTGAACAAGGTCACGACGTGTTTCCGATGTCGACGAAGTTCGTTAGGCCCCGTGCAAGCGCGCCGTGACCGCCGCCGTGAGACACCGATGACCGAGTTTCGGTATCGATGCACGTCGGACCCTTTGGCAAAACAAACGCCAAGCATAAAGTCCTAGCGCAGGCTTCATTCGATTTTTTTTTTTCATTTTTTTTAAAAATTTTTACACGTGTACTTTGGTGATGTTTGGTGGGAAAAGCGGCGAAACGGAACCGTCTTTGACTGTGCTTCCGTCCGGTCCGGCCCGGCCATCGTCATATCCGACTGCCATCGGCTCCCTGCAGTTCCCTTCGGTTTGTTTGGACTGGCCGAGCCAAGTCTATGAGGCTGGCGCTTGCTCCGAGCCGCTCACTCTGCTCAAGTTCCATTTTACGATTGGCTTTATAGCTTGTTTGCGGCGTATTTAGGAAGACGTAAACCGACTTCGTAAACCGGTATTCTGGAAATGATGATGCTGTGTGTCTGCTACGGGGTGATCTGCGGCAGGCGGGGAATGACTGAAAAACGGATGTATATAGATTTAGAGCAACGTTTAATATTCCAATCGATCACAATAGTTGCAAGATAAGTGTACGCGTACACTTAAGCATTTGGTTTGATGGCAAGGCGGAATCGCCACATTATTTCACACATCGGAACACCAAGTTATGCACAGAATGATACATTGAAATGACATTTACAATGAGCTCATTTATATTTGGCAAATTTTCACTAAAGACGTGGTAAAAGGCTGACCTTAGGTAATTTTCATGCTCGGAAATAAATAATAAATAATAAGAATTGAAAAACTATACTCTCAAACACACGACCAAAAGCCAAAAAGATTTTTATGGTAAGATGCCTTTCACGCTTATACCATAACAGTACTTAGACTATAACAATAATTCTGCATCATTTTATTGCACATTTTCCAAGGAAAAGGGTAACGCAACATGAATTTTAATTCAGAAGAATCTTGCAAATCAAAGAGTAACGAAAGCACCATTAGTGGCGCAAACACATAAACAGCTGCTATAAAATAAAATATCACACGAGTTGGTTCATAATGAAGCAGCAACTCAACACCTCTGGACATGACATGAAGCACCCACTTTTTTAGACAAAAAAGCGAACTGTCTGACAGCTGTCAAATCAAATCCAAAGGAGAAGACAATTTACACTAAAAAGAGTATAAATAAAGACATTTGAATCTAGACTAAAATCTGTGCCACTCTTTTATACACATCGATGAAGTTTAGTTTGTACAATATTAACTCTTTTGACATTATGTACATGGCAACGTAGACAAATAGGAACTAAAACTATAGGTGAGATCTACAAAAGTGTACAATACAACATGGTTCCATTCCCGGATCAGAAAGAATTTTTTTTAACAAAATGCAAGGTTAAAAATTCATGTCACCTTAATATTTTTTTTCAAAGCGTACAGTCTTTGTCGTCCGCAACAACGGACTTGTGATTTTAAGATAAAAGATGCCGCTGCACTACGGCCAAATCCTCTGACACGTGGCCATGGAACCAGCGGACTCCGGCGGACTCGACACCGAGACACCGTCGTGCCGCTTACAGGAACAAGGTACACGGGCTGGGCCCTGGGCCCGCGGTGCAGACCGCACCCACACTATCTTACACAGTGGCGGCTCGCGAGAGCCAGCCGCCAATTCAGCTAAGGTTCTCACATAGTAATTTTTGGTAAACAGGGCAAGTTTCGGTTTAAAAATCCTCTAAATACTTTTTGGTAACTAACAGCACAAAAAAAGCACATGCTCCGCGCAGGGCAGGCAGGCCGCTCTTCACTGCCGCGCTCCGCGTTCCGCGTTCCGTTCGCCACGCCGCCGAGTGGACGAGCTGCTCGGGGGCCTCGGGGGCCTCGGCCGGACGGCGCGGCGGCAGGGCGGCCGGTCCCGGAAACGACGGAGCCGATAACAAATGGGCCGCGGTCACGGGGAATGACCGGAAGCGGCCGGGGACTCCGGGGGGACGCCGGGGGGATTTAGCAGTGAAGAACGGCTGCGCGGGAATGTGGGGCAACTGGCCACTTTAGTCTCTGTTATAGGGCGACCAGGGGGCGCCACCGTCTCACTTGTCGCCACTCTTGTCCTGCGGGGGCGCCTTCTTCTTGAGCACCCCCAGGCTGTGCACCTTCTCCAGGAACGACTTGTGCGCCGTCAGCACCTTGGCCGATTCCACGTCCTTCTTCAGCTCCTCCATGTCCCTCTTTAGCTTCGCCCGTCGATTCTGGAGAGACAGAAAAAAAGAGAGGCAACGTTTAGTCTCCGTCCGACGGCCGAGGTGCCCGTCAAGGGCAAGTGAACGATATCTCGATAGAAAACACACCGTGTATTTAGCGAGGACCGATTTTCGACTTTGGAAAGTTTTAAGGGAATCGGCTGCACGTCTCTTAACTGTCGACTAGAGATTCTCTCGCTTTTGTTTGGCCCGCCGATTCTGGAAACAAGACGAGACTGTTAGAGATGCGTGTCGCACAGACAAAAAGGCCCGCTCTCTCGCTAAATCCACGCTGCAGGCCCTGCAGGGCTCGCTAGGGGAGACACCGCTCCGAACTTTTGAACCAGCAGTACGGGACAGAGGACGCGCGACACGCGGGCTTGGCGCTTTGGGCTTGGCGCTTTGGGCTTGGCGCTTTGGGCTTGGCGCTTTGGGCTTGGCGCTTTGGGCTTGGCGCTTTGGGCTTGGCGCTTTGGGCTTGGCGCTTTGGGCTTGGCGCTTTGGGCTTGGCGCTTTGGGCTTCCCCGAAGGGCAAAAACGGCGTCCGAGCGTCCAAGGAGTACAAGAGGAAAAAGCGCCGGAGGAAGCCATTGAGGTGTGAAGTGATTCAGCCGCGGCGCGGCACGGCACGGCGCGGCACGGCGCGCATTGCATAACTGCTGCTTTACAAGCTGCGTTTCCGCCAATTACGTGCAGACGATTCGGGTCAGTTAAAAGAAACAAACTGCTGGTGTCAAGAGTTCCTGGGCGGCGCGTCCCCCCGCGTGCCCCCGCCCCCGACGCGGTCCTCGTCGCTCACCTGGAACCACGTGATGACCTGCGCGTTGGACAGGCCCAGGCCGGCGGCGATCTCATCCCGGTCGGCGGGGCTCAGGTACTTCTGGTAGAGGAACCTCTTCTCCAGCTCGAAGATCTGGTGGTTGGTGAAGGCGGTCCGCGACTTGCGCTTCTTCTTGGTCTGCTGCCGCGAGTTGAACAGGTTGAGGTGGCTGCCCGAGCCTTCTGCAACAAGAGGAGGAGGATCGGCCGGTTAGAGGAGGCGGCAAAAACGAGGCGCGCGCGACGCGCACATCGCGGCCGTGACCAAGTCCGACGCCAAGGGCTGCCAAGGGCAGCGCGTCGGCAGCGCGCCGGCAGCGCCGGGTCCGCGGAAAGAGGAAACTGGAGGAGCGTGGCTAAACGGCGCCAACGCCAACGGGTGCGTCGCGGCGCCGCGGCGTCGCGTCCCATTCCTGACGTGAGTTGCACGTTCGCGCGGATCGCTGCGCCCGGCCCTGAGGCCGCGGCGCCGCTTCATCGCTCTGTCTCTCTCGCGGCTGAGGGGCGCCCCCTGGGTGCGAGAGAGACAGAGCGACGAGTCAGTCAATGGGCGGGCTGGGCAGTGGCCGCGGGCCGCAGGCGGGGCGCGAAGCAGGATCCGGGGCCGCGCTGCGCGGCAGGAAAGAAGAACCCATTCAACGCGAGATTAACGCCGTGTGTACGGCCGTACGGCCATTCACCGGACTTTCCTAAACCACACACACACACACACACACACACACACACAGACGCGGCTACTACGCGATAAGTCCGACACGGGGCGTGGCGCGGCGTAGTGGTGGCGGCGCGACGAATCAGAGGATCCGATCCCGCGTCCCAGTGCAGTGACGGGACGGGCCGGGCCTGCCGTCGGCCTGCTGGGCCTGCCGGGCCGCGTCGCGCACGCCGGGTCGGGCCGGGCCGTGGCGAGCCGCGCCGAGGGGCGGGGCGCGGCGAGGCTCAAACCAGATTACATCGCGGGGAGACGTCGCGGCCGCCTTGACCTCCAGGGCCACGACAAGGCGAAGCCGTGAGGAAATCGGACGTCTCCCTCGGCGGTTCATTCATTCATTCATGTATTCATTCACCCATTCATTCCTTCATTGGGGTTGACTCATCCATCAATAGCCCGATGGATTAGGAGTCGTGGGGCCCACCAGGGCCTGAACCAGCCGGCCGGCGTCGGCGGCCCCCGAGGCCCCGGGGCGGCTGGCGGCTCAGGGAAGCGAGGGCAGCCCAGGGCGCCGCGCAGCAGCGTTTCCAGGGTGACCCGTGTGGAAACCAATGGCTAAGAGTGAGCTGACCCGCGTCTGAAAATTCAGACGGCGGTCAGGCCTCGGTCAGACCTTGGTCAGACCACAGTCAGGCTGAATTCAGACCGTCGCGTGAAAAAGGGCCCGTCTGAATTGTACCTGACGAGCGCCTGAGTGCCGTCTGAAAGCGGTCTGACTGAGGGCTTGAAACGGACTGACTTCGGTCTGAAAAACCGCTCATATTCAGACCGGATTCAGACCGTTTTCAGACCGACGACGGCGAGCGGCAAAAAACGATCAAAACAAGGAGACGGGCCGCCGTCGGGTGTCGAACACCGAAGTCCCGTGTGGGATGTCGGAGCGCGAACCCGCTGGGCCAGAGCGACTTCGAGGGAAGGGGGGCGCGCACGCAGAGTGTCTTTCTCCGTGCACACTGGACGATGCGATACGGGTTTTTAGTGTTGTATTGATTGTGAGAAAAGGTCCAAGTGGCCTGACACTGACAACTCGTTTAAAGTTGAATAATACAATGGTGAAGCTGAATCCTTGGCCGAATCTGATGACCATTTTCATTGACATTATTCGTTGGTTTCGGCCACGGAGGAAATGAATCCATCCATTGACAATTTGACTATCGCCCACGGGTCGGCGCAGAGACACTCTGCGTGCGCGCCCCCCTTCCCTCGAAGTCGCTCTGGCCCAGCGGGTTCGCGCTCCGACATCCCACACGGGACTTCGGTGTTCGACACCCGACGGCGGCCCGTCTCCTTGTTTTGATCGTTTTTTGCCGCTCGCCGTCGTCGGTCTGAAAACGGTCTGAATCCGGTCTGAATATGAACGGTTTTTCAGACCGAAGTCAGTCCGTTCCAAGCCCTCAGTCAGACCGCTTTCAGACGGCACTCAGGCGCTCGTCAGGTACAATTCAGACGGGCCCTTTTTCACGCGACGGTCTGAATTCAGCCTGACTGTGGTCTGACCAAGGTCTGACCGAGGCCTGACCGCCGTCTGAATTTTCAGACGCGGGTCAGCTCACTTTCAGCCATTGGTTTCCACACGGGGAGTTACGAGCGGCGTCCCCGCCCACGCCGTCACCCCCGTGGCCGAGGCCGCCGAGGCCGCGGCCGCGCTCACCGTGCGGCAGCCAGCAGGCACCGCGCAGGCACCGCGAGGCTGGCGGCCAGGACGCGGCGGAACAAAGAGGAGATTAGGAAAACTCACAAGGGCCGGCGGCAGTGGCGGCACCGCGCCCGAGAGGAAGGAGGATGGAAGAAGGTGAGAATTGACGAGGCGGGGAGGAGAGGCACTCCGACGAGTGGCCGGGCAGCGCAGCGCCCCGCCCGCTGCGCCGCCGCCACTAATACCACGTTAATTTGGAGGCGATTGCCGCCAAAAGTTGCACCTCGGCGCCGGACGGCCTGCGGTGGCCTCTGTCTCTCTCGCGCTCAGGGGCGGTCCGCATGGTCCGCAGTGGGTGCGAGAGAGACAGAGCGAGAGTGCGGGGCGGGGACAGGCGGGGCCGCGGGCTGGAATGCCGGCGCATAGATATTTGTACACGCCAAACGCAGCAGCGGCCATTAGAGAGTGAGAGAGAGGGAGAGAGGGAACCGAAGGCCGAAGGGAACCCGTCGCAACAAACGGGCTGATTTAATGGCCGCTAAATATCCGGCGGGGCGTGGCGGGGCACTCAAAGCGATCCAGTGTCACTGCGCGCCAGTCATGTTCGCGGCCCCGCCCCGCGGCCGGCCAGCCGGCCCACCGGCCCGCTACACGTGTACCCGTTCTCGCCGGGCGCGCAGGCCATCAGGCCGCACACGTGTCGCCCCTCGCACCGACCGTCATGAGAACAATCAGGGCGCCCAAATTAATGGGCCGGTCGCGGCCACCGCCCGCCGGGCCCAAGGGCCGGGCCGCAGAGCAGTCCGCGTCCCCCGGCACGGCGATGCCCCGGTGGTCCGCCCCGCCGCGCCGCGCCGCGAGCAGCAGGCGATCACCTGCGATCTTGTTCGATTAGTTGCTATGGTTGCTCCCGGCCATTAGCTGCGGCGTGCAGTCCGTGCGTGGCTCGGCTCGGCTCGGCACGGCTCGGCGCGGCTCGGCTCGGCGCGGGCGTCGGACCGTGGAGAACACCTAGGGTGCCTTACGGCCTAGGGCGCCGCCGCGCCGCCACGCCGCCGGCACCGCCAACGACGCAACGGCACCGCGATGCACGTCGCATCGCGCCGCGCCGCGCCGCCACAGCCCGCCCGCCGCGCAGGACTGACAACTCCATTTGCCCCTCCAAATTTACCGCCAAATTCAGAAAGAGGACTAAAAAGTGCCTCGCACACACACGCACGCCAGCTAATTGGCTTTCTGATGGGACTTCCCCGGGGCGGGCCGTACACTGTAGGTCGCGCTACGCGCCGCCACCGCGCCGCCACCGCGCACGCACCTGACGTGCGCAAGCCGCGCAAAAGCCGCAAGCGGCCGCAAGGCGCAAAAAGGGATAAAAGGCCCACGTCGCGTCGCGGCCGGCCCGGCGGCTTGTTTCTTGTTTCGCTCGGAAAACAGCTCCATCCGGCGAGGGGCGCGGCGGGGCAGGGCGCAAGGCGCGCAAGGCTTCAAAGGAGATGATGACCCTCGCCGGCCTGGCCGCCGGCCGCCACCAGCCCCGCCGCGTCGCGCTATAAATATGCATACCGTATCGCGGTCCGGCGGTCCGGCCGCGCCGAGCACCCACACGGACGCCGTTTAGCGAGCGGGCGCGGGGCGCGGGCGGCGCGACCACCGCGTCGACCCGTCCGGGTCCGGACACGCCGAGCGCCCCGACTGCGGCGGATTTCCTTGGCAGTTACGGCCCCCTTCGGCCTCTGGCTGGGCGACAGCCGCCATGCAGCAGACTGATTCCGAGAGTCGTTTTCGTCGCTCTGTCTCACTCGCACCTGTACGGCACGCCCCATGAGTGCGGAGAGAGACAGATAGGGCTTGATCGATGCAAGGTGAAGGCAGTCGGTCCACACAAAGGGCGGTGGTGTCGGCGCGACTGGCACTCGGAGCCGATAAGCACCAGGTCGATGACGACCACGGCGACGTCTCGGGGTGCTGCCCTGGAGGAGTCATCGCCGCCCTGCTGGAACTTCCTGGAGCTTCCTCCATCGCGCGGCTCTGGCCAACACACACACAGCACACACACGCGCACACACTCACACGTGCTATGATTAAGCTGTCTCATCACAGTCAGCCCGGAGCGGTGGTGCTGCAGTGGGGCGCTCACACACGCACACACGCGCACACACACGGAATGCTGATTAGCGAGAGGCCGTCGTGTGTTGCTGTTGTTGGCACTGCACTTGCCGCTGCGACGGTCAGCTCCTCGGCCCGTCAGCTGCTACGCCGCCCTGCCCGGCCCCACGCCCGGCGTCGGGGCGATGATACTCCATTAGCGAAGCAGCGAGGCGGTAATTCGATATCAACATTTAAATCCGAGGGGGAGGCTGCCTGCCTGCCTGCGGGGCGCGCGCCCCGCACATGGCGCATGGCGTGACTGCGAGTCCGCCTCAGCTGTCCGTCCGTCCAGGGTCCGGGTGGGCTGCGGGGCTGGACGGCTGGACCCGACTGGACCCGCAGGCCGCAGGATACACGTCGGCCAGGTCCGGCAGGACGCCGCAAGTCCGACGGCAAGCCTCGGCCGAGCCATACCGCCCCGAGATCAGCGCATTCTACTTGATTCTGCAGTCTGATTCCGAACTGTGCCTCTGTCTCTCTCACACTCATGGTGCGCCCCGCAGCGGCGCGAGAGAGACAGAGCGGAATCTGCCTGCTGCCTGCCTGCAGGCTGCGGTCGGGGATCGAGGATGTGCTGACCGCCACACGGAGAGCGCGAGAGCACAATGCGAGGGCACGCCGCCCGGCGCCGCACTCATGATCCACGCCATTATAAACACCGCGCCGTGCCGTGCCGCTGCAGGCCCG